TGTCAATGAATTTACTAAATTAATTGAATGATTTGATCAATCAAAATATGAAACATTATAATTTGCTTGATTTTTTTGGTTTTAATTAATTTAGGGTTAAATCAAATTATGTTAAGCCAACGGGTACTAAAAAATACTAATTTGGGTGGGTTAGTAATGATTTTGATGTTCCATGCCTACTTAAAAAGACAATATGGCCCATGTTACTTACAATGATTTTAAAAATATCAACTATTGGCAATTTAGTATTTAATAATAGCCGTTGGATTGGATGTGCTAATTGTCTGCCAGATTAAAGAAGAGAATCTGATTCTCTCACAAATCATTAATTAATTTCACTTTTGTGCTTTTTTGGGTAATAATCATTTTCTTTATTAAAGCGCATTACTACTAAATCTATTTAATAGTATGGGCCGCCAATTCGGAAGCCCGAATCCAATAAGTAACTTCGTCAGCCCAATAAAAAATAATGTGGGCCGCCAATTCGGAAGCCCGAATCGAGTAAGTAACTTCATCAACCCATTAAGAAAGAAATACGGGCTTTCAGCACCGGCCCGTAAACTACAAATAAGAACCGCCTTATCTTCTGTACAGTGATACAAAATTAAGATGGAGATAATGGCTTTATCATCATCATCATCGTCTTCGTCGTTTCTCCCGGTTTCGAGTTTCAGGCGGAACAGTCATTCATCGAGAAATTTCAGAAGAGCAAATTCACTTCCAATGGCGGTTCGCTCGTGCCTCTTCGACGAATCCAACCTACTCCTCCAAGCCGCTAAATACACTGTAGGTTTATCTTGCTCTGCTAATTTTAACCTATCTTTAACTTCGATTTCATTGCTTTTGTAAAATCAAAATTCAAGAGCGATGAAATTGATTTTGCTACTGTGTAATTGATTTTGGAAATTTTGTGTGTGTGTGTTGTGTGTGTGTGTGTGTGGGCTGTAAAAGGTGGATACGTACGTGGAGAATGGAATGGTGGTAGGGCTGGGATCTGGTCGGGCTTCTGGTTTTGCTATACAGTATTTGGGTCGGCAACTTCGATCCGGAGCCATTAAAGATATCACCGGCATTCCTACGTAAGTGTGTGCGTGTGTGTGTGTGTGTGTGTGTGTGTGTGTGTGTGTGTGTATTCGATTTCAGTAACAGTAGTGGCAATAATTAATCACGATTAGTTTATTTCTTACAATATAGCATTTGTTTGTTTCTTCAATTTTCTAGTGTTCATCACAAATATATATATATTTATATATACTTGAATGTGATTTCTAAATACTTCTGAGTTCTAGCATCACAAATAAATACTTATGTGACAAAATTGAATAGTGTACAAGCTTTATTTTCTGACACCATGAACTACTTGAAAAATGTAGGTAAGAGAAGGTTTAGATTAGGCAGGTTCTTCGTCTTCGGGCATTATTTTTGCAGTTGGCAAACTCGAGATGCAATTTGTCATTTCTATAAGCACTTACGATTTTCTTTTCGTTTTCTCTCATTAGGAGTAACCACCAAAACTGTCATGCAGATCTGTTGAGAGTGCAACTGAAGCAGCAAAGGCAGGTGTCCCTTTGGATCAATTTAGAGACATCTCTAAAGTGAGCAATATTTTTCTTTTTGTATTCCTTACATATTCGGACAGCGTAAAAGTATGTATAGATGCATCAATGTCACATTATGGTCCGTAAAATGAGTGTGTCAAACAATGCTTCTCTTGCCATGTCACATTTGTAATCGGGTGAAACACGGATAATGTTTTTGGGCAGCAAAGAAAATCGAAATTACGTTGTATTGAGTCTCACTAGAATCTGCTTGAATGGCAAAGTAACTAACCAGATTCCTTCTCTCTCCATTTTGTAGATTGATTTAGCATTCGATGATGCGGATGTTGTAGAACAAGAGTCACTTTCGGCGGTCATTGGGCGTCAGCAAATGCACGGTGGTGAGTCAATAATTGAAGAAAAGGTTGGTTAAAATATCATCTTTATCATTAGATAGAAAAGAGAAAGTACTAATATATGTTCACTAAGATTATTTACTATTGATTCATTTCAAGTGCTCGGCGTTTTACAGAGCATACTGAGAGCAGCTGGGAAGCTGGTCCTCATTGTTAAACCACAGCAATACCAGAGTGCTGTAGATGGATCGATTCCAGTTCTAATTAAATCTGTAAGGTCAAGTGAAAATTATTTGAATTCAGTTCGATAAACGTATCTTTTGAAACTTACATTTTCAAATTATATATCAGATTAATTGGTTGGAAACTGCTGAAGAAATAGACGACCTGTTTCTTGGTGATGCTGAGGTACAGCCACTAGAGTAATCCTAATAATAGAGAAATCTTATGCGATTAGGTACATTATTATTTTTTAAATATATATTTATTCCTTTTCATTTTTATATTTATATCAAGGTTTGGAGAAGATCATCGTCTCTAGGGTTTGTGGGTCCGACAGGAGGTGACTATCCAATTGTCACTAAAGAGGGGTATAATGTTCTTGATGTAATATTCACATCGCCGATTCAAAGCCTTGGTACCACCCTTCTTTACCCTCGTATTAGATCTTCCATCTTGCTTGGACCTTTTTTTCATTAATCATTTATTAATTTATTGTGGAATTTTATTGGTATCGTGCAGTTGAAGTGGCTGATAGTCTCGAAGATGTGGTTGGTGTTGTCGAACATGGTGTCATCTCGAGAATCCCGTCAGTTCCACTTTGTCTAGCTAGTTTTGCATATTCATTTTTCGATTCGAGGGAGTTGAAATTATATGTTAAATGTTTAAAAAAAAAACGTCGTTCGTTGCAGGTGCACAGCAGTGATAGCCGCAGAAGATGGGCTGCGCATTGTTGATAATACCATTAAGATTGAAGGAAGCATGGTTTAAATCTCAGGTTACCTACCATGTGTATCATCATCATCTCTGCATGCATATTTTTTTTATATAATGTAATTATTATATTTGTCAAATACAACATAGAATATGTATTTATAACAGCATTGAGTTGAGAAATTAATTTCTATAATGAGTAAAGATAAAGGAAAATTCCATTCCTCGTTGTACACGGAATCGCAGGTTTTTTTATTTTTAATAATATCTGTATCTAGTGTCATAAATGGGCTTTGACTTTTTAACAAAAGTCTACTGTCTACTATCAAAAGTGGGCTTTGATTTTTGGCAAAAGGCCCATAATGTACCAAACGAGTAATTAAATCTTAATTACCTAATTTGAGTTTTTAAATCTTGAATGACTAATAACTATTTTTCTGATATAAATATCATTAGTATTTCTTGGAATTCCTCAAATAATATTCTCACTTAAAAGGATATTTTTGGAGCTACAAAGATACTTTTCTAAATGAATTTATTAAAAAAAAAAAAAAAAAAATTACATTTTTTAAAGATACGTCCGTTCCGTTTGCAAGTGGGCCCAGAATGTGCCCCGGAAAAGAATATGCCCGGCTAACAATACTAATCTGTTTTCTGTAATTACACAATTAAGTTCTGATACCAACTCTCCTAATGGACTTGAATTTACTCAAAAAAAAAAAAAAAGTTCTGATAATTAATTTTATAATTTAAATATGTTATAAAATATTGGGGCATGAATCAGATGCTCTATCACGTAATGGGCTATTCCTAGCAAGTGGCAGCCCAAGTTTCTATCCTAGTGAAACATGGATCCATATTTCCTGCAAGCCCAAAAAGCGAGTTTATTTTAACGAAAAACGTGTTTGCATGAACAAACGACTTAACAATAACCCGTTTCTCTCTTAAAAAAAACCATCTGCATCCACACTCTCTACTGTGTGTTTGATTCCATAGCATTCTGTATTTTCCTTCCTTCTCAAGATCTGATCTTCACCGGAAATTCAATACAGAAAGTATTATTGAAAAATGGCGGCGGCCGGAGGACCGGATCTGTTGTTCGGATTGAGGAACAATTTTTACTTGGGAGCGTACCAGGCCGCGATCAACAACAGCGAAATCCCCAATCTTTCCCATGATGAAATCGTGGAGAGGGATTCTCTTGTTTACCGCTCTTACATCGCTCTCGGAAGCTACCAGGTACGATAGGGTTACGCTTCGGATTCGTTTATCTAATTTTAGGGGGATTAATGCTCGATCTAGAGTCTTTTTTTTTTCTCGATTCAATTCAAAATTGTTGTATATTGTGATTTCTAGAATATATGTTGGATGTTTCTGAACAAGTTTCCTTGATTGTGCGTAGCTTGTGATAAATGAGATTGATTCATCTGCGGCGACCCCACTTCAGGCCGTGAAACTGCTAGCTTTGTATCTCTCCGGCCCTGAAAACAAGGTGAATTTCTGTTTTTTGGTCATTTATTGAATTGATCTGTATTGTATGGGTATCGTTTCTGAATTTACTTATACTTCATCAAATTTGATTATATCATACTTGAATTTTAGACGTGGTGATTTGAGCTCTAGATGTGGATCCCGTATTACCGAAATTAGTGATGATTTTCGTTAGGGCTTTTCCCTTTAGTTACAAGTGATAATATACTCAATATTGAAGAACAAAAATGCAGTCATCGTTACCATTGAATTGGGTGTTATATTCTCACCACCATTAAATTCACAATTTGGACAATATAACAATAACATGGTTTCCTCTTCCTCTTTAGAATATATGAAGAGTTTGAATTCCCTTTGTTTTTCTATTTGATGAAGTGGACGCAAATCTCTGCTTGCCGTGACTAAATTCAGTCGTTGTATTTGTAGGAAGCGGCTATTTCGAGTCTCAATGAGTGGTTAGGGGATCCAGCCATTGGAAACAACCCCATATTACGTCTTATTGCAGGGATTATATTCACGCACGAGCAAGATTATAACGAAGCTTTGAAGCATACAAATGCTGGAGGAACTATGGAGCTGTGAGTCCTCTTATTTTGGTGCTGGGTATCTCAGATGTTTCATGTTGATAATATTTGTTATTTTGATTATTGTGGGTGATTTCTTGAAAAAATTTGTCACCTATGCTCCGTAGAGGTATAGCTAGAATCTTGCTATATATGTATTGCTTGCATATCTGGCACCGTTTTGATCTTTGTGAGGTTAGTACATCAGTCTCTTAATTTTTAAATAATTTACTCATCATTCTCCCTAAAAAGATTTGCAGTATGAAACGGTAAGGTATCTTGTGAAACTACTTACGTTGTTCATAGAATGCATGCATACAAGTTTATGTGGATATATATGTATATAAAGTTAAAATATGGACATTAGTCAACTACTGTAAGCTTGAAAATGGGTACGCACGTGCAGGCATGCTTTGAATGTCCAAATATTTCTTAAGATGCACCGATCAGATTACGCTGAGAAACAATTGAGAGTCATGCAAGGAATAGACGAAGACCACACACTAACTCAACTCGCTAATGCTTGGCTGAACTTGTCTGTGGTAAGTGTTGCTCGACATCATACACCTTTTGCCAATCCAAATTAAGGAGGGTCCATCAACTAACCTATTATTGCTGTATGAGTTAGGGTGGTTCGAAAATCCAGGAAGCATATCTTATTTTCCAGGACTTCTCAGAGAAGTCTCAAGTTACTAGCTTGATCCTTAATGGAAAGGCTGTTTGCTGCATGCACAAGGGTGAATTTGATGAAGCAGAAACACTTCTGCTCGAAGCCCTAAATAAGGTGGATTATATTTTTATTTATCGTGATAATTTGGAGGGTTCGTTCAATTTTAGTTAGATTGCATTTGACGTTGCGGTTCATATACTTTATACAGGATGCAAAGGATCCAGAAACTCTTGCCAATCTGATTGTTTGCAGTCTTCACTTGGGGAAAGCTTCAACGCGCTACCTCAGGTAAGATTTTTCAATTAAAAAACTTGAGATCTTTTGTTTGGGGCTTTATGGAATTTCTGATAATTCAACGGTTCTTTTTTTTCTTTTTGTCTTTGCAGCCAATTGAAATTGTCACACCCAGATCACGTACTTGTGAAACGTGCATCCACTGGGGAAGAGAGTTTCGACAGAGCAGTTCAAACAGTTGCATGATTAGATTGCTGTTTGTTTGTCTTCTACTCCACCTCCTTAAAAAAGAAGAAGTATATTTTGGGTGTAAAACGACATTTAATCATTTGGGTGTTCTCATTTGTTTAATTCTTACGATTTTCTTGAAAACTGCAAGAGTTGACTTTTGATGTTAGATCTGCCGAAAATCAGTTTATATTGAATTTCAAGACTGGTATATGATTCTGGCCTTAAGTATAATTGCTGGATTTACTCTTTAACAGTTGTTTATTATCTTTTTCTGCCCTTGCTTTTCCTGTTTGATGAGTTGTTTTCCGACTTTCGAAGTGGTCGAGGTTTCCCTATTTTCGGTAGCCCTCATTCATAGCTGCATAAATTAATTCTTTATTCATGTATGTAATCTCAATTTTGATGAACTTGCATTATTTGTTTAAGGTTCATATTTGCACACTTGCAGATTATAAATCCGAATGAATGACTAGTCACAAACTTACAATGGTGATATTTAAGGCTTTGTTAGAGAATTAGGATAGATTATATAATTAAATTCAGTCAAATATATTTTTTTTTTTTTTTTTGAAAAAAAATTCAGTCAAATATTAGCAATATGTAAGATGGTTATTATAATTTGTTACTGGTAATATGGTAATTAAATAAGTATATAAGTAATGCTGCAAATGAAATAAGTTCCTACAGAATCCGTCCCACATCGGAAGAATATCATAAATAAAACATATATTTATACAGGTGATTGAGCAATGATGGGCACGACCTTACTTGAACAGGATCTGTTCTATAGGCTCGTACCTCTGTATCCTTGATTCCTAAGGAGACAGGAAACCATGTCTGGTTGATGACCCATGGCCGCTCGACCAGAGCGTGATTTAACCGAACTCACTGGCTCGCCCAGTTGACTCAGTAGATGATCGTTCTCGGTCAGCTTCGGCTGCCCGAGGTGGTCGAGCAGCTGTCTGACAGACTATTCTTTTTGGTTTGTATTTTTCCCAAGAGTCCATTATACCACATCGGAGGTTTACAAGAAAATACATCTATTTATATACTTTTCATTTCTTCCTCCTTTATTCCCTTATACATAGGAACAATCAAGAAGCTGCTACAACAACATACTGAAAAGAACTCACAGTTTGATTTCGTAACTAACTGCAAAGAATCCCGCAAAGGTTTGTTTGGTACATAAATTCGAGAATGCGGTACCCAAAACAAAAACTTATACCTATCATCAACTATTATTATTGAACTAAATTTGTCTTCGATACAAATTCATAAATCGAGAAAAAACTTCCTACCATTCTATGCAATGTATATAAATAGAAATGTAAAAGAATAATACATCAGATCATCCCCTGGCCTCAAGTCCCTCTCTCCTCGACCACTACTTATAAAATTGCAAAAAAAATATTGGGCTCTAAACGGGATTCATGTTAGTCCTCGATCCGCTGTGATTTTAAATTTTTTAAGTTTATATTTATTATTTACGCAGACATCACAAGTGGGGCCCCACCATACCCGTTAAGGTGTGCCTTCTGCCATCTCCATGCTATCTGCAAACTTTGTTGAAGGTTAGTGTATTTGGCTGTCCAGTTTAGCTCACTGTTTATCTTTGTTGGATTACTGTAAACTTCTGCATAATCACCCGGTCTACGTGGCAGAAAATCGACTTTTATTGAAACTCCAGTTGCCTCCTTACAAGCCTCCACAAACTCCTTCACCGATCTTCCTGAGAAATTTTAGAAACACGACTTTCAGAAAAAAACACGTCTCTGCCAAATTTGACATTTTAAAATCAACATTTACTACAATAGGCATTTTATTTACCTCTTCCTGTACCGACATTATAGATGCCTACATGCCCTATTTTTGCTTTTTCCAGAGCTTTAACATGAGCATCAACTAAATCTGTCACATCAATATAATCCCGTATGCACGTGCCATCTGGAGTATTATAATCCGTTCCTCGAACCTGCATTATAAAGAATTAGAAACAAATTTCGCTTTCTGCATAAAAAATGGATCTTTATTTTTTTAAAGAGAAAAAGTTCACTTGAAGTCAAAATTAAAGTACCTTCAGATCTGGAATGATTCCACTAGCAGCATCAAAACAAGCTCCAGATATTCGTCCATGTTCACGTAATTCAGGTCTTGGAGCTTCACCAAGCCTTCCATCGGGATCAGAACCAATCACATTGAAGTATCTGATGTACAACAAGAGATTTTAAATACTCGGTTCACCTTCGTAATTCTGAGTAACAAAATATGTACAACACTAAAAAAACACCAACCTTAAGATCATGACAGCCATGTCAGAGTTCTTATGGAAGTCCAGAATTATATCCTCTGCCATTTTCTTGGCTTTTCCGTATGGATTTATCGGAACCTGCACGACATAAAAGAAAAAAAACAAGTCTACTCAGTGAACATGTCTCGTAATAATAAATGACGTAGCATATTAGCAAATTATCAATGACTAAAATTGCTAGTGTAACTTGATCAACACTGACCTGTGGAGTTTTTTCTGTAATGGGCATCTTGTCAGGTTCCCCATAAGTTGCACATGTGCTCGAATAAATCAAAGTCTTTACTCCATGAGCTGACATAGCTTCTAAGACAACTAAAGTATTCGACGTGATATTGTGATAGTACCTGGTGTTGTAAGAAAGGAGGTTATAAAACAACTGTCAACTAAAAAGAAGATGTGTAAATGACAGTTTCTAGGTTCGTAGTTCTTCGACTAAAAGGCTACAATTAGGACACTACCACATATATACCATATTTTTCACTTTAAACCAGCTCCAAAGACTTCAGTTTTTTGTGGACAAATAAAGAGAAAAACGAAATCTTCCCCCGCTTAATTGTTCTCATGCAAAACACAACAATACATAACCTAAATCATGAATTTCTGGCATTAAGATTTCTCAGATGCACAAACGAAATGTAGTCAGCTGTCCGTATCGAAATGTATATGTAACAATTAATCCCCTTGCAGAAATCTCAAGTTACTAATAAAAAATTGAAGTTGGTATGCTGAACGAAAAATTGTAGAAAAGCTCGAAATTTGAAACCAATGAAATAGCGTCTGTGATCTGGAACAAACAAAAGTTGCAGAAAATTAATTTCCAGTGAGAGTGTCATAATTATACATCGAAGGCTCTCGTGCATATTTTTATTAGTAGTTCAGAAATATGACCATATGAAAAGAAAAAAAAAAACTAAAATTATATTCATAGATACTCACTTGAGGGGATCAAGTGTACTCTCTCCAACATACGCTACAGCTGCAAAATGCATTACTGCATCAAATGCATTTTCTGAAAATATTTTGTTCACCTGAATATTGATCGAGGAAATAACATAAGATCAAAATTTGAACTTATCACACAAACAAAAATAATGAGAAACAAATAGGAAAATAAGAATTACCGCTTTTGCATCACCAAGATCGGCATGAATAAACTGAAGTCGCCCTGGTTCAGGAAATAGTTGTTGCAGGACATTAATGGCACCAAGATTTCCGCGTGAGAGATTATCCTGTCATGTGAGAATATACACTCTTTTCAGGGTCCGAAAAAACAATTATGGGAACAGAAGAAGAATTAGAGAGAAGTATTCGGAAATATACCACAATAGTCACACGATAGGAATCCTTAAGAAGTCGTAATGCTGCATGTGAACCAATGTATCCCGCACCTCCCGTTACTAAGACATGAGTAACACCTTCTTCGTGACTTGAGAACTGTATAAAGCATCACAAGTGAATATTTTAGGAGGCAAAAATACTCGACTTAAAGAAAAAATGAAGCTTCGGCTGTTTGTTGAAATGCAACTTGAATGAAAATGGAAAATTCAAATGTATGTGACGTCAAAATAAAGCAAGGAATATTGTAATCAAAATATAGGTGACCGACTTAACCCCGTTTTGGTAATTAATTAGCGGCAGTTTGAACACTGAATGAAATTTAACCTAAAAGGGTAAAGAGGAATTACTTGGCTGGGGGTGTTGAAATTTGGGGATTGCTTAAGCATAAGAATGCACAACGCCGTAAGAGTAGAAACCATTAATATTCTTCCACATACATTGCTCTTCTTCTTTGGGTCTACGTAATCCATGCCTGAAAATAAGACAGACCCGAATCAGAATTAATTGAACTAAAGACATAGAGCACTAACTCCTGACACTGAAATGAAATAAAAGCCCACCTCCTAAAGACATAGATCTATTGGCCCTCGGCTGGGTTCGTGTCCTGGTGAAATTCAGCATTGAGAAATATCTTATCTTATTCTAATAAATTGACATCAATTGTCGACTGCCACACTTTTGCAATGTGGGTCGGGAATCCTCGAATCTGCTGACATAAAATTCGAGAATTAAACCATGATTAGTAATAAATATTAACATGGATTACTAATCAAATAACTCGTTCAGGGACGGGGAAAATTTTATCTCGGAACTAAAGCTGGGCCCTGTTGAAAAAGATTGACATAATAACTCATTATAAAATCACTAAGCGTAAAACAGAGAGAACAGGACAGAAGAATTTGAAGGATCACAAAAAAGAAAAAGAAAAAAAAAAGGCATTAGTTTCAAACCTAAAAAAACACTCAAAACTCTCGAGATCCATGAAACCCCAATTGAAATCCCAACTCAAATCAATGTTTTGCAGCAGATAAAGCAGGCGAATTATTGTTGAATTTATCAAATCAATGAACAAATTTAACCCAAAAAAAAAAGATAAGAAACAAAACCTGAGTGGTAAAAATTCCCAAACATTCTAAGACGAAATTGACGAGCCAATTAGGCCTGCACTTATCAGTGATCAAAGAAAGAACTCTTTTTTTTTCTTTTTTTTTTTTCTAATCCCCTCGAAATTCGATGATGTGCATGTATTTGAATCGTCAGAAGATCTAAAAAGTCAATTCGATCAATGAAAAGAAACTTCTGTCATACAACAAATGGACAAAGGCGATGACCCCAAATACATCCCCCCAACCGCATTTAATCACAAAAAAAAAATGATGAAACCCTTGAAAGTTGAAATACACCAACAAAATCAAATTTTCACATAAACCCAAAACGCTAACAGAGAATGGGAGGAGAAAACAAACACAAAATTAAAAAAAAAAAATTACAGAGAGAGAACATACATACAAGGAAAAAAAGGGCGAGAGCAGCTGGCGGTGTTGGCTTCGGCGTACGTTTTTGAATTTGCTGCTATTAGAAAAAATAAAATATAAAGTAGAAGAGAGAGAACTTATAATATTTAGAATTACAATTATTGTTTGTTTAATTACATTATTAAATTAAATTAAAATAAAAGGTATTTTTATGTTAATGTTAATTTAGAGAAATAGAGTGGGACGCGGGGAAAGATTTGACGAAATATCAAAACCCAATTTCCACGATTTGATGTGAGTGATGGGCCCCACTTCCCAAACAAAACATTATACCACTCTTGGACAAATAAAGCTATTTTACTAGGATTTATTGTCCAATTCATTGAATTTTCTTCGATTTCTTGCATTAAACTTATGAAGAACAGAAATATCGTATTTGGGTAATTATAACAATTCCATCAAACATGAATTTTTTTATAGTGTCAAATTCAACATAAACTTATAGATTTCGTGTAATATTTTCTAGTTTCTATTTGCTTAATGGCAATATACAGTTTCTGATGCACCATAATCTGATATTTACATGCCAAAAGATACATCTTGTGATCATTTTGTTTCAAAATGTTGAACTAAAATGGGGTAAACGAATACAAACTGAATAATATTCCACGTAATGTACAGGATTACACTAAATTTACCACCGATATGATGAACGTGTAAGAAAATTCATAGTTAAGGGGATGATTGTAATTAGAATTTTTCTTGTAATTAAGCAAAAAATCCCTAAAAATAATAATTCTTGATGCAATTTGAATTTCAAAAAACACAAAACATCAAAATTATAACAATATTTATATTCGTAATTTCAACAAAATATTACGAAATGTATAACAAGTTAATGAATTTCGAACTCGAATCATTTAATTTTGCAAAATATTTGTTTGCATGTGTCAAATGATGTAATGATGTGATGCTGCTGCTCATGTGATATCTTACCGACCAACTTAACTTTCCAGTAATAGCCATTTTAATAACTTCCTATTATATATCATTAATTAAAATATTAGCCTTTTTATAATCTCATGATAAATAATAAGGCTTCAATTAAAAATTATTTAGGTATATTAATTGGGGCAAAAAGACACAACTGTCATGCATGTGTAGAGAATCATCCCTCCCATAAAAGGCCACGTGTAATGAAAAACTTTTCCTTTTCCAACTTTTTCGATCTCCTACCACAAGCCAAACAAACCCCCCATTTTCTCACATTTTACCAACTATCTAATTAATTATTAATGAAATTTTTAGTATTGGACGTGTCACTTTTAACTCCAACTAATTGATACTACGTGCTATTTATTATTAATATGTATAAAGGTCTGTTTGGTTGCGATTGACAAAAATATGACAGCAAATTTATTGACAAAATGCATTTTAAAAAACCAAAGAGACAATACATAAAACACTGATACTGTAGGCCCGCGCGTGATGCCACGGCCCACTACTAACAAGTTTGTCATTTTGTCGATTTTCATATTCTCACAAAATTAAAATATTAATTATTAAATCTCAAATTATGTTGATCTACTTAATCTAATTAACTAGGTGTAATTTAAGTAGACGGCAATTAGGAGAAAGTAAGCAAATTTTGAGTATGGGAAAAGTCAAACAGAGATATAGACAATGTCTCCATCATTATCAACTGTCAAGCAATTAAAAATGGACTCTTTAATTAAGGTTAACAGTGTGAAAAAATTGTATTATTGGAAAATAATTTATCCAAACTTGCTAATTGTTATAAACAAAATTGTTATTAAATTTTGGTAACTTGACCCGGATTGATGGACTAACTTGACCCGGACTAATGGACTGTGACATCAAGAAGGACAAATAAAAATTATTAATATCACATCAATCAAGAAATAAATACGTTGAAAGTCCAATTTTTTAAAATAGCAGCCGCCTCAAATGGGATTTCACAATTTCGATTTTCTTTTTATCTCTCGTATAATAGCTATCAAACCCGATAAATATAAAACCGGACTGAACAAATAATTCTCGGCTTAAATAATAATATTCACCAAGAGAATGGAGGAATGTTAGTAGAATTTATTATATATTCTCCCAAGAAGGAGATGATGAATCTATGCCTAACATCACGTTGACTTCTAAAAATACAATCTGTCTTAAAAGAACAATTAATAAATACGTAAATTAATTAATAAAAAAAAAAAAAAAGAGCAAGCACGTTCACAGCTACTTTAATTACATTATTTAAGGTTAAATGCATGTTCAATGATTAACCCACTAATAAATTATTATTAAAAGACAGAAGAGAAGAATTAAGAATACAACTCATTTGATAAGAATTAATTAAGTCCTCATGCAACAGTTGCCCCCTAATTACAGGCTGCAATTGTAGATCATTTCATTTTAATTCAAGAAAATGCACACAAATATATATTTTTTACTTCTTTCTGCAATTAAATTTAATCAGAAAAAAAAAAAAAAAATTCCTACCATGGGCTTCGGGCTTTACCACGCCTGTAAGCCCAATGATTTCAGGCCCGGCCATCTTATATTAAAGCCCAAAATCATAAAAAATCTTAAACAAAGTATCATCACAAAATCTTACAAAATTATACAAGAGCAGCTTCAGTTTGAAATATTCTACCTACTTCTACTTCATTTGATGACCTTTTTGCCCTTAGAAATTCTTTACAAGATTCTATCAGATGCCGAACCGCAAGGTTCTCGTTTCCGGCGAGAAGAATATTCCCCTCGCGCACCACCTCATCAAGAGAATGTTCCTCAAACCGGTGCGCATTTTCAACCAACACTTTCGACCAAGACTTTCTAGAGAAAACCTGCGACTCCACATAAGCAAAGTTGACCAAGTAAGACAGTGCAGCTGCACAGTCACCCTGCTCAAGCCTCACGCAAAACATCTCCGTCACTATCAGAGGCGGTGGGTCCCGCCCCGTTTCAACCAAGTGCTCCCACGTCATCTCCAATAGCTCCTCCTGTCAAAAAGAAAAATTCGAGTAATTACAATTATATCCCTTCAAATTTGGAAAATTACACAAATTACCTTTCCAGCACGGCGTGCGTCTAGTATCATCCGAAGATGCCGTTTTCCGTTGAAGTGGTGACCGTACCTCAGCATTTGTTCGTACACAAATTCGAGATCTTCCCATTTTTTCTCAATGGCACATGCGTCCAACATTGTGTTGAATGAATATATATCGGGTATAACCTTAACTTTATAATCTTCTTCGTGTTTTATGGAATTGCTGTTTTCCAATAGCATTATGAATAACTGTTTGGCTTCTTCAAACATACCATTATCAAGAAACCCTTTCAGCATTATATTACACGTTACTAAATTCGGCGAGCAGAACTTCTTCATATGATTAAATATATACGCCCCGCTTTCGACGTCGCCTGATTCTAGACAGGCTTGAATTAAACCCGTGTAAGTTACCACAAGTGGTTTGTTTGCCACTTTACACATCTTGTCAATCTGCCAAAAAAAAAGAGAAGAACGAAAAGTAAAAAAAAAAAGTAGTTCTAGAAACGAAAAGGTTAGGAAAGTAGAATAGAATATTTATTCCAACTCACTTGTTTTAATGCCTCGTGGCACCTGCCTGCACTACAAAGGCAACGAGCGAGGTCATAATATAGACCGGCATTACCAACTATTCCTCTGTTCTCCATTTCTTCAACAGCCATTATTGCCTCGTCGGTTTTGCCTTCCTTCCATAATGTATTTACAAGAACTACAAACAACGATTTTTTTTTTTGTTTAAGTTATATACCTTCGATGCATTGGTTAGAAGAAATATTTTGAAAAGTTACCTTTATATATTAAAGCATTTGGTATATATGATTTCTGCACTTTCTTGAAGAAGTCGTGAACCAGGTTATACTTGCCACATGCCAACATAACCTGATCGAATAAAGATGAAATTTAGGTAAGTTGGTAGCGATTGTCAATGGAAAGTCAACACCGTCTTTTTTAGGGCATTACCTCCATAACAAGTCCATACGTTGTGCTAGAAGGATGTTGACCTTGTTGGCCTAGCTGCTGTAATACCCAGAAAGCCCCTTCCCATTTCTCTCGCCGAACGCAAGCATTAAGGACCTGGTGAGAAATAGCAACTGCACAAGTTAAACCTTTTATTACAGAAAACCCCCTACCAATATTCAAATTTACAAAGACACCCTTAACCGTTTCAAAACCTTTTTTTTTGTTTTTACAAAGACCCTATACATAATCATAGACAATAACATCACGGATGCTACTTACGGAATTGTAGACAATAACATCGGGTTCTAAACGTGGGTCCCACTTCTCGAGAAATTCAGTTTTGAACTTCTTTTTGGGAGGAGACCTCATGATATCAATCACGTCGAATAGTTCCTTTAAATGCCCAGCTTGTCCAAGAGTGACCGCAATACAATGATAAGCCACAATATCAGGATACGAATCCATTTGATCCTATACAAAGTGATCATACATAAGAATTTAAAGCAAAATAAGGGATAGAAAAAACAGCAGACGTAATATAAAAAAATACCAGCATTCTGTGAAAGAGATTGAGAGCTTCGACCGGTCTCCTTGCTTTACCAAGAGCATCCAAAGCAGCAGTATATACATGTCTGGAGAACATAAACAAACCGATAAACACACACACACACACACACACACACACACACACACACACACACACACACACACACACACACACACACACACACACACACACACACACACACACACACATATATGTTTGTAGCGGGGAGAAAGTACCTTATCCTGTGAGATTTGTAGCGCTCGCGAGCCTGAATCCATTCGATGACTTGAAGCACCCTCCTCCAGTTTCCCAACTTACCCAATATCTGTACAATCCTCAAAGTGGAATGATCGGAGAATCTTATTTGCGCACTTCGCATCATTTCAGAGAACTTCCACTCGGGAATGTCAATGTCTGCACCATTCAAACTGTACAAGTAAACTACTTTACTATGAGTACACGAAAAAGGGCTTCGTTGGCAATACTCGATCATAACATCAAATTAAAAAATGCATCCTCCCAAGGTAAACTCACTTACTTATACCCTAAATAGAGATAAAAACACATGTATGGCGTACAATATAGTCATTAGATTACTACAGGCACATAGACTTGTGTGTAATCAATTAAGGCCTCGTTTGGTTGCTAAGATAAGATCAGTCAAGATAAGATTAAATAATCCATGGTCCAACAAAAAAAACTCCCTAAAAGATAAGATAAGCCATGATAACATAATTACTTGCGTGTCGACTGTCGACCCGACAAGTTATCAGGGATACCAAACATCAAACAAAGTCCAATTAACTATTATTTAGTTAATAATGGCTAATCTCCCCAACCAAACGAGGCCTAATTGTACTAGAGATGGTTCGCATTACTCACCATTTGGCAAGCTTCAGAATTCTCTCATCCATGTCAACCTTTGAAACTCGTGGCTTGTCGATAACACCTTCGTAATCCAACGACTTGAATGCAGCTCTTTCCATATCCATGAACTCACTCTCCCTGCTAACATTTTTCTTCACAGTGTAAGCCTTCAAATTTTTATCCTGCTTCTTGAACTTCTCCAACGAAACTCCGTCGTCGCGAAAATCACCCTTTCTCGAACCTTCTCGAACAAATGCACCATTGTTGGAAACAACACCCTTTCTCGATTCTCTTCGAGCAGAAGTTGCCACGTCAGCTCCATTCTCTTCTTCTTCTCGAACATTTTTCTTCACAATCCTCTGTTTCCTAGAAGTGTTACTAATAGACTTGCTATTGCTATTATTATTGTTGTTGTTGTTATTATTATTATTATCTCTGTCGGTTTTGACGGATTCCATGGCTTTCAAATAATCACCGAACGACGGCTCAAAATCGAACTCTTTATCAAGGACAACGCCGCTGCCATCACTTAAAGCGCTTCTCGTCGCAATTATCTTCTGTTTCTTTCTCCTCGGCGCAATTACGGCGACGGATCCCCGCAAAACTGAAGACCCGCCATGGAAGAATGAACTGTGGGTGTAATTTATCAGAGAAAGAGCTTCTATGGCGGATTCAGACACGGATAAACCACCTATCATCTTGATTTTTCCTCTTCTTCAATTCGGCATTTCATCAGAGGCCTTAAACTGATCGGAAAGAGGTAGAAGATATTTTAATCGATTCAATGGCTGGAAATTGAAGATTGGGTTTATCAGTGTCGTTAAAACCTTGTTTGTTCTCTAAAACACGTAGGAAAGTTGCTATTGTAGGAGAGACACGCTTTTATGGTTAAATGGGCCTCAGTTAAAAATTATAGCTAAGGCCCATAATAAAGTTGTTAGTTCAAACTCAACTCTATCAGCAACGTGTCCATTTATTAAAGAAGCGGCCCAAAATTAAACGTAGGCCCAATATTTTTATTATCACAATATAGGATGGATTGGATTGAAAAATATTTTATTTGGGGACCCTTTTGGTATTAAAGGCCATATTAAACAAATTTACTTACTGCATGTATTTACCTAGAAAACAAAATCCGTTTTGTTTTGTTTTGTACTTCATTGTTGGGCATCGCTCAATGCATTGCTAATTTTGAGAGCTTTTGGTTCAATTTGGCCGTCTGTAGTGGAATGATTGAAACTCACGGTACAATTCGTGTAAGTAATTCAAATTTTGTTTAAATGAAATACCTAGTGGACTGTTAACAAAATACGAAATGTGATTTGTCCCTATTTGTAAAGAAAATACAATAGATGAATGTATAGCAAATTGCCCCTTTTGTTTTTTCAAGTGAGTCAATTTTGATTAAAAAAAATCAAAGAAACAACTAGTATTTTTGAAAAATTAAAGAGACCCTAATTTAAGAAAAAGGAGGGCCGGGCTCGAAAATCGACCGTTGGCTCCATCTCCGACACGTCATCATCTCCTACCTATGTATTGTGATTCGCAATGGAGATTCAAATTTTGAAAATTCAAATGGCAGAAACACACAGAAACAAAAGCAGAAAAGGAAAAAAAAAAAACAGAGAAAGCTGCTGCGACACAGTACCGCCTTTTACTCTTTAATAACTAGTTTCTGAAATTAACAACAGAGAACAGAAACATCGTAGAACAGAAACCAACAGTAGCCCACTATTAAACTAATTAACAATTAAGGATTTTTTAATCTCATTACTCACTGCAATAAATATCGAAAGCCCCCATCCTTTTTTGGCTTCATAAATTTCATTTGAATCTATCTTAGGGCTACCCTTGTCGGGAAACAGAACCCATTTTCTATTTTCTATTTTATAATCAAAAAGATCGTTTTTTTTTTTAATCTCGATTCTTGTCTCTTCTGGGTTTTTCTTAGGGTTTTGATTCTGATTGGTGATTCAGTATGAGAGAACAAAACCCATCGGAGAATAGAGGGAAAACCTCAAAATTTGCTGATCAAAACCAGGTTCCGAAGATGAAATCTTCTTGGGGTTCTAACATTGTAAAAGGATTCTCAGCTTCGGACAAGAAAACCAAAACCAGGGTGCTGCAGACCACAGCTCACAGCAAGAAGCTGCTTCCCCTCAACAACTCCGATACCGCAAACCAGAAGAATCAGCTGGCGGTTTCGAATTCAAGAATCAAACGATCCCTCATTAGTGATCTCTCGTGCTCAATAAACGCTACGCAAGTGCATCCGCAATCACTTCAGAGCCAAAGCAAGACGAAGCCTTTAGGTTCTTCCGAAGATTTATTTCTCGAAATCGACCATTTGAGGAACTTGCTGCAAGAATCCAAGGATAGGGAGCTGAATTTGCAAGCGGAGTTGTTGGAGAACAAGAAAAAACCCGAGGTGTCGAAGCTCGAAAGGCAGCTTGAATTGAAGAAGAGTGAAATCGATGACCTTACCAAGAAAGTGGGATTGCTCGAAATCGAAAAGGCTAACCTTTCGGGACAAATTGTGTCGTTGGCTTCCGTAATGGGGAAGCAAGATGAGGTAGTTGTAACCGAAAAGCATGATCATTTTAGTAGTGTGGAGATGGAGGTTGTCGAATTGAGGCGCCTTAACAAAGAGCTGCAGCTTCAAAAAAGAAATCTTTCAAGCAGAATTTCTTCCTTAGAATCCCAGTTAGCCGCCATTGCCAAAGTTTCGGAGGTATTACATCACTTTCAGTTATTCTTGTAATTGTTTTCAATTTGTTCAATCTTGGTTTGATTGAGTTATGTATGCTTCTGTTGACATTGTTAATGTGCAGAGTGAGGTTGTAGAGAAGATTAAAACAGAGGCTTCTTTGCTAAGGCATACGAATGAAGATCTATGCAAACAAGTGGAAGGTCTTCAAATGAGCCGAATGAACGAAGTTGAAGAGCTAGCATACCTGAGATGGGTTAATTCGTGTTTACGAGACGAGTTACGCAGCTGCTCTGCAACGAATTCTGATAAGCAATCGAGCCCGGATTCCGTTGACGAAGGAAGGGAATCTATTTGCCTTTCACCTTTTCCGACCGACGACGAAGATTCCAATGATGATACCGCCACAAAGAGGCTGTACCTAATCAAGAAGTTGAAAAAATGGCCTATCACCGATGAAGACCTGCAACAAATAAAATACGAAGACCATCTTGTCAATAATCCTAATTGGGTTGACCCACAGGGCTTGGGAAGAAGGCACTCTATTAGTGCAATAAATTTTTCACCCGAAGCTCAGATATTTAACAATAAACGGCAATCGGATAGTTTTATATGTTCGAAAGAAGCAGAGAAGAGGGCTGAAGTTTTAGTTTCTCGTAAATACGACTTGGAAGTGAGCAATAGAACCCATGTTTATACCGATTTTCAGGAAGTTTGTAAAATGACAGCTTCGCTCGATGTTGAGAAACGGGCTTTGAGAGTCCCTACACCTCCTCCTAGGCCTTCATGCGCTGGCTTAACTGAACCAAAAGAAGAAACTTTATCGCCAACTCATCCACCCCCACCCCCGCCCCCGCCCCCACCCCCTCCTCCGAAATTAATGGCTAGGAGCATAGCTGGAATGGTGCAACGAGCTCCACAAGTTGTTGAGTTTTACCATTCCCTCATGAAAAGGGAGTCTAGAAAAGAGTGCTTAAATTCAGCTACTACAGATGTAGCATCCGATGTAGCAAATGTTCGTAGTAGCATGATCGGTGAAATTGAGAACCGGTCGTCTCATTTGCTTGCGGTTAGTTCTTTTCTTTCTCGTATGATCGTCCTTTTTTTTTGGTGGAATTGTATATCTTATGCTTTAGATTTCTCTGTGAACAGATAAAGGCGGATATTGAGACTCAAGGAGAATTCGTGAACTCCCTTATACAAGAGGTCAACAACGCAGTCTACAAAAACATTGAAGACGTGGTTGCATTTGTAAAGTGGCTTGACGATGAACTCTGCTTTCTCGTATGTTTCTCGACAGTTTTTTTCCGTGCATTAAAATCTCCTGCAGATTTTGACAGTTAAAATCTTCTTTTGTCTGATTTGTCCTATAGGTGGACGAAAGAGCAGTTCTGAAACACTTTGAGTGGCCGGAAAAGAAGGCGGACACATTAAGAGAGGCGGCATTTGGGTACCGAGATCTAAAGAAACTCGAGCAGGAAGTTTTGAACTACAAGGATGATCCTCGTCTGCAATGCGACATTACATTAAAGAAAATGGCAGCTTTATCCGAGAGGTAAGAAAGACCTCATACCTGCATGAAAATCGAACACTTTAAGACTTTTCTATGATGTTGACATCATCATTCCAAAATCAGGATGGAGCATACCGTGCATAATATCATGCGAACGAGAGATTCATTGATGAGGAACTGCAAAGAATTCCATATTCCGACAGAGTGGATGCTAGACATGGGAATACTAAGCAAGGTTTGGTTGTTAATTGTGTTATATATGGAATTTCACTATCTATACGAAGAACAATACGTAACCGTCTCATTTATCGATTTCAGATAAAATTCGGGTCTGTGAAACTGGCGAAGATGTACATGAAGAGAGTGGCAATGGAACTCCAGTCCAAGGGAACGTCGGATAAAGATTCTTCGTTGGATTATATGTTACTCCAGGGAGTCAGATTTGCATTCAGAATCCATCAGGTTTGTTTAATCATCATAGAATTGTCTCGTAAATTCATACGCAAACAAATAGTGATATTAAATGTATTTGGAAATTATGTGCAGTTTGCTGGAGGATTCGATGCAGAAACGATGCATGCGTTTGAGGAGCTTCGAGATCTTGCTGTTGTTCTCAACAAAACCAGAGACTGAAAAACAAGAAACCATATATATTGTTATATTTGTGTTCTATAGTCTTGGCTTACCACCTCAGTAAGCAATTAATATTTATTTCAAAGGACCTATAGTCTGCAATATTTGAGTGGGAGAAATACCATTTGAACAAGTGAGTTTTGCTGAAAATGGATTAAAATTTTGGTTTTAAGCAATATCTTATTTTACCAAGAACAAATTATTAAAAAAAAATTAAAAAAAATAATAATAATTGAAATTTGTCTAATAAATGCAAAAAGCTATGATTTATAACAGAAATTATAAAATTTAATCAACCAAAAATATATTATAATGCTAAAATAAAGTTATCAAAACCTTCATCCTGGAGCTCAACAAGAAGATTATTCAACACTGCATAAATTTGAGAAGAAATTGGGTGACTTTTATCTGCAGCTGCGAAAACATGGGAGGAATTATCCACTTCAATCCAGCTATAACCTGTTAATTTCTTCACTCCTCTTTCCTTCATCATACCACGAATCTGATTCACCCTCGTCCACGTACCAGAATCAGCGTGCAAATTCGACAGCAAAACATAATAACCAGAATTCTGAGGGTCTAAACGAAATAAATGCTCTGACGCCACCTCAGCAAGCTCAACATTGCCATGAATCCTACAAGAACCCAATAATGTACCCCAAATGCCAGCATCTGGAGTAAACGGCATCGTTTCAATCACTCGGAAAGCTTCTTCCAAACGACCAGCTCGCCCGAACATATCAATCAAGCAAGCATAGTGCTCCATCCTAGCAGAGAATCCATAATCTTGGATCATGGAATTGAAGTAGCTCTTTCCTTCTTCAACTCGACCAGCGTGGCCACATGCTGACATCACCGCGAGAAAAGTGACACCATCGGGCCGAAACCCCTCGTCTTCCATAGCACGGAATAACTCCACGCACGTATTTAGTTCACCGTGGTTTCCGTAAGCAGCAATAATGCTATTCCAAGAAACCTCGTTTCTTGACTCCATATTGTCGAAAACTCGGCTTGCCAAATCCAAGTCACCGCATTTAGCGTATGTGTCTATTAGGGCACTCGTGGCAAAAAGATCAAAGTTGAACCCACGTCTTATCATTAGACTATGAATCTCTTTCCCACGATTAAGATCGGATAAATTAGCACATGCGGAAAGAGCAGCTGAGATGCTGACACAATCATATTTGGCTCCTTCGAGTCCCATACGAAGGAATAGATCCATTGCCACCTCCGGTTTGCCATTCTGGCTGCAGTTTGTGATCATCGAATTCCAACAAACGGAATCTCGTTCGGACATCCGTATAAAAACTTCATGACCAAGATCTAACCTTCCACATTTAGCATACATGTCGCTTATTGCGCTTCCGACGTAACACCTACCTTCAAGCCCCTTTTTAACTATGTTACCATGCAACTCCTTACCCAGTTTTAGTGCAGCCAAGGCTGCACAAGCGGGTAAAACGCTTGCAAAAGTTACAGCATTGGGCCTCAATTTATTACCAATCAACCCTCGAAAAATTTCGAGAGCGTCAACATTCATTCCATTGAGCACAAGCCCTGATATCATAGCAGTGCAAATCACGATGTCTACAGCGGAGCTCTGTTTAAAGACTTTGCAAGCCATTTCCACATCGTTGCACTTGAAATACACATCGATAAGAGCATTCTTCAAGAATAAATCAAATAACACACCGTGCCGAACAATATAACAGTGGATTTCCTTTCCCTGATCAAGACACCCCAGCTCAGGAACTATCGGGAGCAAACTTGCAAAAGTTACCGAGTCTGGTTTTATTTCCGAAGATATCATCTTCTGGAACAAATCCAAAGCTTCGTTCATATAGCCGTTCTGAACGTACCCTCCTATCATTGCATTCCATGTGATAAGATCAGCTTTTTGTGTGACAAAATCAAACAGCATTCGAGCATCAAACAGGCAACGGCACTTTGTGTACATAGCAACCAACGTGTTGGCCACCGTAGGGTCCGTTTCTAAGCCACACTTGACAACTAAACCGTGAACCTGGTTGCCGAGACCCACCATCGATTTGGAGCCGCACAAACAAAGAACAGACGTGTAGGTGACATAATTGGGCTTAACTTCACCTTTTCTCATTTCCACAAACAATTCAATCACGTTATGCGCTAAAGACTCGCATTTCAAATATCCGTTAATAATCACATTCCACATTACAATATCTCTCTGAGGCAACTTATCAAACAAGTTTCGTGCATTGTCTAAGCAATCATTCTCGGCGTAGAATTTGACTAGAGCACTACCCACATACACATCTAGCTCGAATCCGAACTCGTTGATCATTCCGTGTACGTGTTTTACTAAATCAACAGCACGGAGACCACCGCATGCCTTGATTAAGTAAGGAAAAGTATACTTATCGGGATTAGTACCGAAACTTAGCATCTTGAAGTAGAACATAATCGCGTAATCATAATAACCCGTCATAGTAAACCCTCTAATCATCCAATTCCAAGGCGCGGCGTAGCATAATTGAAGCTGACAGAACAATTTCTTGGCGTCGAGATAATTGTTACACAGGATGTATACACCCAAAATCCTTGTGCCCAAAATACCCATGTTGTGGAGCCCATTAACTGTAATCTGGGCGTGTATCTGCTGGGTTTGTTGAAGAACTGGAGGAGAGAGAAAAGAGGCTTTTTGGTGTTGTAGAAGTGGTGCGAGATGGGACGCCAAAACCTCCTCGGTGTAAGGAAAATGAGACGATTGTGCTGAGTGGAAAAAATGGTTACTTGAGAATTTTTCTCGAGAGAAAATTGTTGAAATCCTTTTATACATTTAAATTATGAAGTGTAGAGCAATCTATCTATTATTACAAACAGTCGTTCTGAGTTCTGACAATCATTTTCCCGTTGAGAGAGGTTTCTCATTCGTATGATCGTCTCTTGCCTTCCCTCGTCTGAGTAAACTTGTTTTGTTTTTTTAGCCGTTTATATTTGGTAAATATCATTCTAACCCCTCTACTCTGATTTAGGTTGAAATGATACTCAATGAGATTAGAGGGGGTTAACTGGAATTTAACCCTTTTTCTTTTTTAACTGGAAATTATAGTTCTCACTCCTCAAGTTTGCATATTTGGTCCCTCATATTTATAAAAAAACATATTTGGTCCCTCATGTTTTAATAATTTAACTTTTTTGGTCCTTTCCGTCAATTTTAACGTTAGTCCGATTGTTAAAGCAATGATTCGCACACACTTTATTCCGTTAGTACTAACAAAAAATTGACGGAAAGGTTTAAAAATGTTGATTTTTTTTAATATGAGGGATCAACTGTATTTTTTATGAACATCGAGAACAAATGTGAAATCGGTGCAGACTTAGGGAATTAAACCTATATTTTTCCCGCAAACAAATATTACAAGCTGAAAAGCACCATAGAAAATTCTTACAAATATGTTGGAAGCAATAAGAAGACACTATATATAAATAGTTCTTTTTTTTTCGTCAAAGCATTAACTATACAGTGAAGCAAAGCAATTAGCAATACACTTAAAACTTAGAGTCGAAAAAACGAATATTAACCGAAAAAAAAGAGAGGAAAACTTGCACTATAACTTATAAGGAGAGGAAAATCGAAAGACCTGTTCAACCCTGCCTATATGTATTTTGTGCCTGCCATGAACAAGTCACTTTTGTATGTCTATAAAAGGGCCATAAAAAGGCCAAAAGAAAAGTGAAAATCTATATTTTATATATCTTCAAATTACGCACAGCTCCTCAAACGCTCGTCAAATTTCAACATCCGCAAAAGCCCTCCCTATAAAGAAGGGTTCCAAGTTGGAAGGCACGTGCATTCGTGATTCTTGAAGTAATGCAGGGCAGCATATTCCTGTGCTTTATACATGTACAAACTCCACTTCATTCATCAACAGACCTCGATAAGTACCTCGATTCTGGGAAATGTGATCTTACTCTCCTTGCTGGAAGAAAGTATAATCTGAGGTGGATTCATTTTTCATGACCTGCGTGTCAACATTATGGTGTATATAAAATATATGTAACCAATTATCACCACTCAATTCATATATAATCACTTCTCAAGCAAAATCATATCTTCAATGGTCATAATATGCATTTGCATTTTCGCAGTTCAATTAGCTGACATGCCAGATAAAATTAGTATTCCTAGACCAAATCTCTCCTATTCGTCTTAGAAAATGGTGCTTAAACAATTATTTTGACGATTTCTGAAAGAGCAATTGTAACCAATAGGATCTAGCTACTACAAAGCTCAGCAAAAGAAAAGCGAACCTCATTCACGCGTGAAGATCCAGTAGGAAGAGCATGAACAAGAGAACTCCAAAGAACAGGGTCCACTAACGGGTCAATAGTATTGTAGCTGGTAGCAGGCAGAAGCGGAGCCAACGGGTACACATTCCTATGAATCGGTAATCCTCCACTTATCGCATATGCAACACCACCACCATCATGGCATAATTTCTCAACTGTCTTCCCCATCTCAATTTTGTCAATATTGTTTTTATTTTCGTTCTCATCATTCTCTTCCTTCCCTTTATTTTTCGAGATTTTCTCCTGAAGACTTTTGTATGCTGCCGACTTCGACAAAACGCTCATAGCTGAAATCTTCTTGTGTTTCATTCTTTCTGGAGGCACGCCCAGGCGTGGCATTTCATAGGGTTCGGTTTGTTTGGTTGAACATTCCAGAGCTTTAAGTTCACTGTCGACGTCGTCAGGAAACCCCAGATGTGTTTCATCTAATGCTTTTGATCGAGTATCAGTCTGGCTAGATTTATTTGTCCCCCACCACTTGATGTAATTTGACAAATCAATCTTCCTCTCGGCACTATAACCACCTGCGTATTCACTCACTGTGGCCGTGTCATCACCTGCACCTTTCACATTAGTAAATTAGGTCGGTATATGATTCACCAAAAAAATAGAAAATAAGATGTCAAAGGCAGTTATTCAGATACAATTCGAAGCCATTCTCACCGTATAGTGCACTGTTGATGTAGTCAGTTCCTGGCAAACGACCAACTTGTGAATCCCATCGACTACTTCAAGATATGTAAAATTTATCGAGTAACATAAGCCAAAATTCAGTTTTACAGTCAGTCATAAAAATATATAATATGCCTCTCAAGGTAATGGAAGCTACGAGACTGGCAATGGAAGATGACAGATAAATTCAGATTTTGTGTAGTGTTGACCTATGCTTAACATGTAAAAGTACCTGGAAAGCGGTCGATATTTGGAGACACCCCTTGAGAAACCACTACTCTTCCTGCAGAAGAAGCCGTTCTTAAGAACCAAGATTCTTTGCTTAATGACATCATTAACAAAATTATACACGCTAACCTCCTGAGTGATGCTAGATAATCCTCTCTCGAGACATTTTGCATTTCCTCAAGGTCCCTTGTATAATCTGTTACCTGCACCGACCACACAGTTCAGAAAGGAAAGTAAAATGCAATAGCTAGAAAATAAGCGTCCTAAAAGTTAATTTATTAAAACAAATCAAAACACTTAAAATAGGCTGCAGTTGACGATGAAATCAATTAATCCAACGAATCTAACTCAAAAACTACTTACTGGAAAATTAATGAGTGTTCCAGGACCCCAATATTTAAGTGCAGCCAGATCATAGGCTCTTGCTGCAGCTTCCTCTTCATCATATGCACCTAAAAGGCCAATTTGGACGGAGAAGATCAATACAGTCGTAAGTAGTTTTCTCCATATGTGCGTACTCAAACACATAAAATGATCAAATTACTTACCCAAGTAAACTGTCCAAAGCAACCACGCACCAATGTTCGATTTCCCAGCAATAAAGATCGGAGAAAAAAGAAACAACAGATTTATAAGATCCTTCGTTTGCAAATCGAAACTTTCAATTAGCACTAATAACAGAATACTGAATACCGTGTCGGTGCCAAAAGAAAGTATAATATAAATGTATCTTCACCTTGCTTTCCCTTCTTGTTTTGGTTTTGATTCCAGGTACTTTTGTCCCAAAGATGTGCTTCATAACGACCGGTCCATCGATGCCTACTCTTGCGGGAACAAAGCACGATAAAAAAACTAATTATTTCAGAAAAGCAAAATTCAAAATAAATTGAAGAAGAATCCGCTTTCGACTTTCGACCAACGCAGGTGATCAGTAGTGCCTCGCGCTTCAATAGCTGTACTTTGATCTACCGACTAGCATTATCAACTCTAGCTAAATTTTCACTAATCTACTATAACAATAAGCAACTCTAGTAATTGAAAGCAAAAAAAAAAAAAAAAGTTGCTTAGCAATGAAGGAAACCGCACACCACGTGTTTGATGGTTGAAACATTGAAGTACCTTGTGACGCCTCGATAAATGGAGCTGCGTTTGCCGGCGGTGCAAGGGGGCATTTTGCTGATTCTCTCTTTCGCCGTGCATCCTCTCTCCTTCTTCGCTTTCTTCAAACCTCTGTAGAGTAACATCTGATCAGTTTCCACCGGTGGAGGCGGCGCCGCCGCCGCCGCTTCCGAGCTCTCCCCGCCGCCGAATTCTTCGGGCTTCGCGTCACGAATCGCGGAAGAAGAAGCCATAACAGCAATTCTTCTGTATTACCCTTAGAACAGAGAAGAAAATTGGAACTCAATCGTTACAGAGAGTGAGGGCTGAGAATACTCGAGTGTTTGATTTTTATTTTATTTTAATTTTCACCGAATTGTGAAATCTACAGAGGGAGGAGGAGGAGGATGTAAGATGACGGAAATGTCCTCGAGGAATCTGCTACTTTGTTGGTATTGAAAAGGTCGAGGGAGGGTTTTTTTGAGACTTCATATGTTGCAACGGCTACGAAGGGTAATTTACTGTTTTCGAATCGTCGGACCATCTCACATAGTCAAAAACACCTGCCACCTGGCATGCTGGTCTACCCAAATCTATTATGATTATGTTTCTGAAAAGTATTCAGGCCCAACTGTATAAAGCCCAATTATTGTTTCTCAATTTAGGGGTCCATTACACAATTCTGGGTCCGCCCAAAACAATTATTAGAATAACTAAACAGTATTATAAATTCAATTATTTTATTAAATCATTATTTATTTTTCTACATAAGCTAGTCCTAAAGTATTATTGGTTTCTTACTCAAAAAAAAAAAGAAAGTACTATTGGTTTCTAGTCTAATACCGGCAATTTATCCGGGCCTACCACCGAAGCTCGATGGGTCAATCTACTTTTATTTGACCGAGCTTGATTAACTGTGAACCGGACTAAATTTGAGTTTTTTTATTAAACTCAATTAAATTATGGGCCAAGTTTGAGCTTATTATCACGACTTAGTCCGAATAAGTTAACACATACGAATTAATGGAAACAAGTCAACACCTAGTAGTAATTAATTCATAGATTTAATCAAAATCAAACTTGTACCATGTACCAAAAGTTGCCTAACTTAAAAGATACCAACTTTTTCTTCATTAATATAAAATCTAGTACATGCAAAACCCTAGTGTTTACGGTATCTTGCAAAAGTCACGTTTAGAGTTTCTCTAGATCTCTCATCAATAAAGATAATCTTAATTTATCAATGTTTTTTTACTTTCAATGAGTACTCTTCATTTATCCTAGTATAAGTTTTATTCAAACATGTTAGGCAACAGAGTTGTAAAAATATGTAATTTATATATCGTCCGATGTAAACTCGAAGTCCGAAAAAATGTATGAGATGAGTTTGAACCTATAGACAAGTTTAAACCACGTAAAAATATGAAATATTAATAGATTAAACTTAAAAGTACTAATAGTACCAAATGATGTCCCAGAAGGAACAAAATAAAAGGTCCATTAAAATGATATCATTGCTCATCACAAGAAAAAAGAAAAATAAAAATGCCAGAGATCACTATCTGCCACTAATAAAACGTGATGGAGAGAGAGAAGAAACAATGTGAATTTTTTAATATCACCAACTTGGCACAAATAAAGCAATTATTATTATTAATCACCATTATTATAAATAAATAAATTAATTTTAATAATGTAAACTGAAAGCAAAGCATGAATCCATTTCACGTGCAGATGCCCGAGTCCCAGACAGAACGTGGCCGCCAGCACGACGCCGCGAATCCTGGTGGGATCCATTTGCCAGATCCCCACTTTCTCTCTCTAAATTATTGAAAAAAATATATATTTTTTTTTTTTTAAATAAATAGCAAAAATTATGGAATTATATCATTAATTAATTTCTTAAGAAATAGTATAAAAATAATTAGCAGCTAAAATAGATCTAATCTCACCTAACTCCTTTACAATCACACCTGACAGATCGATACTTATTTATTCCCAAAAATGCCCTTTCCTTTACTGATTTTTTCAATAATAAATGAATGTTCGTTTTTCACGCCCCTTGGATAAATAGTAGCAACGCTCATCTGCTGTCACTCCACAGTCAACACTCTCTCTCCCCCTCTCACTCAGGTACTCTCTCTCTCTCTCTCTCTCTCTCTCTCTCTCTCTCTCTCTATCCATCTCTATCAAAAAAAAAATTCGTCTTCTTTTTTCTTCTATATTTTTGTGGATAATTTTTCTGCGTTCTGGATGAAGTCGAATATGATTTGATGTTGTAGATCTGGTGACATTTTGGTTATGTGGATTTGATTTGATGTAAACAAGTCTGCTTGTGGTTGGTTACACTTAATACTTGTAGATCTAAGCTTTTATTTTGCAAACGAAGTTTAACCAGTTAATTATTTGTGTTGGTGAAGTTTAGCCATTAGTTTATGTTCTGCAGTAGATCTATCTGTACAACTGTTTTGGATTACATTATATGAATATAATTTTGGTTTTGCTGATGCTCATGTTGTGAATTGGATAGTGATGCATGCATGAAGATTTTTGTTACACTTTTATTGGTTATATTTTTTACCATTTTGATATGAAGCGTTGAATTGTGAGTTGTGACACTAGATCAGATCTGTGTCAATCAGGTTGCTGGCAAATGTTGGTGGCATTTTCTCAATCTTAATTTTTTATTTGTCTTCCCTTTTTCTTATCCGAGTTAATTTATAAAATGTTTTTTTTTAATTATTTGAGAAGATGTTCTTAATATGTCAAAATAGTTTTACTCTCACCTTAGGAGTTCAAACTTGCATGACATTGTTGAGAATTGAGACCATTGTGCCATGGAACAAATTTTGTTGACCATTTGCTTATTTTGGAATTGGTTAAAGTGTATTGAATTTTCATGTTAGGAAAATAAGGGTTTTTTTTGTCCCAATGTAACATTGTTATCTAACTGTTTCTTGCATTTTTTTTTTATTTCAATGGGTGCAGGTCTCTTCATTTACCACTATGTCGGACCTTGAGGCCCCCCTACGCCCCAAGAGGAAGAAGATTTGGGTGGACTACTTTGTACAGTTCCGATGGATAATTGTTATCTTTGTCGTTCTTCCCATCTCATTCACACTCTACTTCCTCACATACCTTGGTGATGTGTGGTCTGAGTGCAAATCATTCGAGAAGCGTCAAAAGGAACACGATGAAAACGTCAAGAAAGTTCTGAAACGTCTCAAAGACAGGAACCCGAAGAAAGATGGTTTGGTCTGTACTGCTAGGAAGCCGTGGATTGCTGTTGGAATGCGTAATGTTGACTACAAGCGCGCTCGACACTTTGAGGTTGACCTCTCTGCGTTCAGAAACATTCTGGACATTGACAAGGACAGAATGATTGCCAGGGTGGAGCCTTTGGTCAATATGGGTCAAATATCCAGAGCTACTGTTCCGATGAATCTGTCCCTTGCAGTTGTTGCCGAGCTCGATGATCTCACTGTGGGTGGTCTGATCAATGGCTACGGTATTGAAGGAAGCTCCCATATTTACGGCCTGTTTTCAGACACTGTTGTGGCTTATGAAATTGTCCTGGCTGATGGTCGGTTGGTTAGAGCTACAAAGGACAACGAATACTCTGACCTATTCTATGCCATTCCCTGGTCACAAGGCACACTGGGACTCCTCGTTGCAGCTGAGATTAAGCTCATACCTGTAAAGGAATACATGAAGCTGACATATACACCTGTGGTGGGTAATCTGCAGGAGCTTGCACAGGGATACATTGACTCCTTCGCACCAAAGGATGGGGATCAGGATAACCCTGACAAGGTTCCGGACTTTGTCGAGACTATGATTTACAATCCCACAGATGCTGTTTGCATGACTGGCAAATACGCTTCCAAAGAAGAAGCCAAAAAGAAGGGCAACAAAATCAACAGTGTCGGCTGGTGGTTCAAGCCTTGGTTTTACCAGCATGCACAGACGGCGTTGAAGAAGGGTGAGTTCGTCGAGTATATCCCCACGAGAGACTATTACCACAGGCATACGAGGTGCTTGTACTGGGAAGGGAAGCTCATTCTTCCATTTGCCGACCAATGGTGGTTCAGATATACCCTCGGCTGGCTGATGCCGCCAAAGGTTTCTCTTCTGAAAGCAACTCAAGGTGAAGCCATCAGGAACTATTACCATGAGATGCATGTCATTCAGGACATGCTTGTTCCTCTCTACAAAGTCGGAGATGCTCTCGAATTCGTCCACAAGGAAATGGAGGTATATATATGTATATTACATTACGATTCTTTATTCCATTTTCCTCTCAGTTTCGAGTGTACTAACAATTGAATATATAGGTCTACCCGCTATGGCTCTGCCCACACAGGATGTACAAACTCCCGGTGAAAACCATGGTTTATCCTGAACCGGGATTTGAGCTACAGCGCAGGCAAGGGGACACTCACTATGCACAGATGTATACTGATGTCGGAGTGTACTATGCACCTGGACCTGTATTGAGGGGCGAGCAATTTGATGGTGCTGAAGCTGTTCACCGATTGGAGGATTGGTTGATCGAGAACCATGGTTTCCAGCCACAGTATGCAGTGTCGGAGCTGAACGAGAAGAACTTCTGGAGAATGTTCGATGCAGGGCTTTACGAGCAGTGCAGAAGGAAGTATGGAGCTGTGGGCACGTTCATGAGCGTGTACTACAAGTCGAAGAAAGGCAGGAAGACCGAGAAGGAGGTTCAGGAAGCTGAGCAGGCTATTCTCGATACTCCAGATGTCGAAGAATGTTGATGAGTGTTTGTGTTACGATTTTCGGCGGGGCCCACCGGGTAGATTAATTTGGCTGTTGTTTTTTTTTTTTCATGTGCTGGTGTTTTCGTATTTCCTTTCCTTCTCTTGTTTTAGAACCTGTTGACTGTGTAGTTGGATCAGTGACTTCACTATTTCTCCCAACGAATGTATTCTATGTTTCCTTTGTGACTTGTGTTAGACTTTCACCTTGTAATTTGAATTTCCATGCTGCATTCTTGCTGCTATTGAGGTTTGAACTTGGATTTTCTCTAGGTATTAATTACTAAGTTTGTTTAGCATGGTACTAAATAAATAAAAAACTTGGATGAAGGAATATTCTCTTTTTACAATAGTGTATATATGAAATAGTAATTAGAATTAACACACTCTACAAACCCTCATCGGCTTGTGCATATGTCAGATATGAATCTTGATAAAAGTAATTAAAATAAAGTTAATGACTACTCCATACAAATACGGCGCTGGAGCAAAAGTATTTAATTAACATAGATTTTGCTATCAAATCAATAAATTGTTTCGTGACTAATAATTTATTTCTTTCATTTATTAGTTTGGTTGAACTAATAAAAAATTTCCCCTATATCCAACAACATTATTAAGTTATAGTACAGTTTATTAGGCTTAACAGCTTTCCCAAATTAGTTGTACGTTAGAAAATATGAACGTTGGAAAATTGAACGTTAAGCTTATTACCGTTAGAAAAATACAGACAGCTAGGCAGCAGATCCTTCTTATTATATTTTCTTATTAAATCGCAGCGCTTCTCTCTCTCTCACACACACATGCAAACAAACACAGAGGAAGAACACGTACGCAGAAGATCGAGTGCACGTTTATCTTGAAGAGGGCGGCGGATCGAGACGATGGGTATGGTAATAGTGCTATCTTTGCCGTTTATTCTCTTCTCATTACTTCTCGGATTCGGTTGTTATCTGTTCGGAAGAGCCAAGGGAAGGAGGGAAGTATACGCTAATGCTCAGGTTTTCAGCGCCCCAGCTCCGCCTCCGGGGGCCCAAAGTACCGCTTGCCAACCGCCTCATGAACCCCACTTCAAGGCCACCAATTTTGCCAATGTCTAGTTCTTTTTTTTGTATCTATTTCTTCCAATTGGAAGTCTACTATGTATGTATTGTACGCATGAAAAATGTATTTAATTTAGCTCTGAATAGATGAATTTTTTTCCCTTCCAATTAGAGTTTTTCATGCTTCATTCTTGTAATATTTTTGCTATAAAAATTGTCATTAAATAATATACAACAAATATTGATCCATCCTCTTTTTGCTTAATCAATTTCGAGAGTATGTTAATTCATTACCAATAAAGTGACTAAAAGAAAACCACTAACAATGATAAGTATAGAAGCTGCGATTTACTCAACTTGAACAGGATCCAGTCACCAAAAAGAACCGAATCCAACATCAACCTATATGAATGAACCCATCCATTGCATCTTTAACAAAAGTTGTTAACTTCGTCCAGTCCGGTTTATTTCAAACTAAACTTAATACAAACTGGATCCATGTTGATCGAACCGAATCCAATCGGATCCATGGAACTGGATATCCAAATCGCCGACTCTATTTATTAGATTAGGATCGGTTGGGACTTGGGCCATCATATATTGGGCCTCCTTTTGTTCTGATTTGTTTTTCTTTGTCAATTTTCTGTGGGCCCAATAAATTGGGCCTCACAAAATACTCATTTTTTTTTTCAATTTCAAGGGCCATCTCTCAATTTGAAACAAGGCTGAGTCCATATTTAATTTATCAGTCAAATAATCACAAGTAAGGTGGTAAGATTAAAAATCTAATTTACAAACTATTTAAACACCTAATTAAAACCCAACAATAAAATCTGCACAACTGTCTTCTCTAAAATTACAGCGCATGCAAAACTGTGATTTTCTGTCTTAAAAATTGGATATTTTGATATTTAGTGAAAGTCAAATCCCATTGCCTAATAAAAAGGAAAAAAGAGAAAAAAATAGGGATTTTCACTCCCTTAATTAAATTAATATAATTAAGGAGGATAAGTATTCCCATTAACCCCAAAAAGAAACACATTGCTTTACAGACTGTTTCATAGCTTTCTTCTCCCCCACCCCCTCTGTGTGTCTGTATCTATATATATATATATAGAGAGAGAGAGACGATTCCTCGTACAATAAATACTTTTTTATATGAACGTTAATCAATAAACCATCATTCTCTCCTTTCAGAAAACCCTAATCTCTATTCAGATATTTTTCAGTCTAGACGTGTATGATGTCGGGGACGTGGAGCAAGTTGAAGAAATCGCTGTCGCTAAAATCCTCCGGCGCGTCTGCGTCGTCCTCACAGCTTCCGCCGCGTGATCCGATTCAATCGGATTCTCGATCGGCGGTGCCTCGTTCCCCTTCCTCCTCCACCACCTCATCGGCCTCCTTGTCATCCCGCTTGTCCCGCACGCTCAGCTCCGGCGGACGTTTTTCCCAGGTTTGATTCGTTTCGTTACTATTTTTATGCGTGCCTTTCCGATGAATCGATTTTTTTTTTTTCATTTTCTGTTGCGGTTTTCCGGCGAGATAACTGATTTATACGAGTGTTCCCCCTTTTACCGGGAAGTGACGCCATAGTCTGTGTGGAAAGTGCATTGCCAATTGACCAGCATGTGTATTCAATTGACAAAAATACCCTTGGAACTATTCCAACTTGCTGCTTTTATTTGATTTTGTCACGAGGGCAATTTTGGAATTTATTTTTTGTGCAATGCTTGCACGATTCCTATTATTCCAATAAAATAATGGCATTTAGCGCAAGGAGATTTAATTGATTTGATTGTTGTGGATTTAAATTATCTAATTGCTTCGTAGATTACTGCACCATTATTTATACTTTGACTTATTATTTGGTCAAATCAAAAGCCGAATAGGTCAATGCATTTTTCACCATGCCCTTTTGTGTAAGGGATAGGAACAAATTAAACATGCTTTATCTCTGTGTCTATACTTTTAGCTGGCAATTAATGGAGAAATTTCTTCATGTAGTTAATATTGCAACATCAAAAGAAGTGACTGCATGAACTAGGAACACATAATTCCGAGCTGTGATTTATCGACTGACGACGGTTTATCGACAGATTGTTGCGAACTTTAACTTGTGTACTTTTTAATCTGTTTCTTGAACTGTGTCCTGTGCCGAAATGTATTCCTTCAAAGTCGGAAATTTTGTCGTTCGTCGTTTCTTTAAGTATCATTGTATCGTGACATCGAATCAATAGTAACTTATTTGACATGCAAACCTTAAACTGTTTCAAATTATGTTGTTGCAGAAGATTTGTGCCATTTGCCTCAAGAATGTTCGAAGTGGGCAGGGACAAGCCATCTTCACTGCCGAGTGCTCACATACTTTCCATTTCAGCTGCATTGCCAAGAGTGTCAACCATGGCAACCACCTCTGCCCCATTTGCCGCTCCAAATGGAAGGAGATCCCTTTCCAACTGCCAGCTCTCAGTTCCCACGACCACGACAACGACCCCATTCATTGGACTCGAGTCCCCCTCATTCCGGCCCCACTTAATCCGCCTCCCTCCGATCCCTTTTGCTACTCCGACGATGAGTCAATTGATTCCCCCGTAGATTCAACGTTGCCTGCTTCATCTGCTCCCTCAGTTAACGTTTCCATTAAGGCCTTGCCAGAATTTCCCGCCGTTGCTGCTGCAGATTCCGTTTCTGACTTTGCTGTTCTAGTTGGTTTACGTGCACCAACTGTCAATGGTCAACAAGTTGACCGTGCGCCTATTGACCTTGTCACGATTCTTGATGTCAGTGGCAGTATGAACGGCTCGAAGCTATTCCTTCTCAAGCGTGCTGTCTGTTTCGTCATCGAAAATTTGGGCCCCGCTGACAGGCTGTCAGTTGTCGCTTTCTCCACGTCAGCAAACAGAGTATTCCCTTTACGTAAAATGACCGAACAAGGGCGTGAAGAAGCTACAGCTGCTGTTAACTCACTCCTTGCATCTGGTGGTACTAATATCGGGGAGGGGATTAGAATGGGGAAAAGGGTTCTCGAAGAGAGACGTCGGAAAAATCCGGTGACTAGCATTATTCTGTTATCTGATGGGAAAGATACGTATAACTGCGAGAGTGTATACCGTGTTTCCGCAAGCCCCGCACTTGTATGGGATTATACCTCGAATTCAAGTACCAACCGGCCTCGTGTTTTCCCAATCCATACATTTGGATTTGGTGGGGACCACGACTCTGCTGTGATGCACCGCATATCCGATGCATCGGGTGGAACCTTTTCCTTCATCGAATCAGTTGAAGCTGTGCAAGATTCGTTTGCTAGGTGTATTGGTGGTCTCCTCAGTGTTGTTGCACGTGACCTTCGCCTCACTATTACAACATCAACTGCCTCGAACATTGGTTCGATTTCTTCTGGGAGATACGAAAATGAAATTTCTGACCAAGGATTCCGAGGCGTGATAAATGTAGGAGACTTGTATGCTGACGAGGACAAAGATTTTCTCGTCCACCTGTCGGTTCCTACATGGCCGATCGCGGACGAAACAACAAGAACGCCACTTGTGGATATTGCATGTTCTTACAAAGACACCGCATCGGAAAATGTGGTGGAGTTGGAAATGGTGAGAGTTGAGATAAAACGGCCTAGAATCGTGTCTCAAGCGGATTCAATTGCCAGCCTGGAGGTGGACCGACAGAGGAACCGTTTGTGGATTGTCGAAGGAATTGCAAAGGCGAAAGAGATGGCTGAATCAGGGAATCTTGAAGGGGCGAAGGCTTTGCTGACGGAGCGAAGATCGACTCTTGTTTCCTCTGCATCGGCTCAAGCTGGCGACGGCCTGTGCAGCTGGCTTGAAGCCGAGCTGGTGGAGATCGGAGAGAGAATGGCGAGCGTTGAGATGTACGAGCGGAGTGGGCGTGCTTACATGCTGTCGGGGCTGAGCTCGCATTCTTGGCAGAGGGCCACCACTAGGGGTGACTCCTCCACCAATTCTCAGCCAATAATGAATGGTGGTGGAGCATCGGCTGTTGGCTATAATACACCATCTATGGTGACCATGGTTACTAGATCACAAGATCTCAGTGCTTGTTATCAGAGAGACCAACAACGTGGGAGGAAGGTTTACCCTAATCTGTGATTGCTTTTTTTCAACTTGTTCTCATATGACTGTACTAGATTTTGCAACTGAATTTAGTACTCTGGATTTGTTGGTTGTTTTTTTTTTTTTTTTTCTTTTTTTTTTGGGGATTATTCTTTTGAGATTATCATTTAATATATAGATTGATTCTTTAATAGATTGATTAGTTCTTGCTTGTCAATTTGTGTTGCTGTCTATGTATTTGCAAAAACTAAAATCAAACATTTAAAAAACATGTTTTTATATTTAACAAATAATTAATTAATGATATGTTTTCCTCAAAAAAAAAAAAAAAAAAAAAAAAATAAAAAATATGTCACCCCAATGATCCAGTCGGGCCCAATTTTTAGTCACTGGGCTTTTAATATCCAAATTCCCCAATTTCTGGCCCAATTATACACAAACGTCTTCCGCTTTAGTCAAAACGGTGTCGTTCCGAACTGAAAAAAAATGCAATCTTGCAACCTTAGTAACCCCGGCCCACGACAGATTCCAGACGCCGATCTGAGGATGGCCGAGTTTTTGATCGGCGGGCTGTACCGTTGATTCGTGACAAACAAGTTTTCTTACCCTCCATAAGGTATCTTCTGCTTCTAATTTGAACCAGTTTTGATTCTCTAAGCTGTAATTTTGTCAATGGCTGTAAAACCCAAGTCTCGTACAATTCTCGAACCCCTCGGGGAATCCGCCGTTGATTGCAGCAACTCTTCGATCAAATCAGTCGCACTCGCCACACTTCCCGACGGCCAAACGCTAATTTACATCGCCACTGTCTCCGGCGTGCTGTTACTCTACTCCCTCCGGATATCCCAAATCGACCCTCTCGAAATCGCTTTCGTCAGACGCCTCTCTCTCCCTGGAGCAGGTACCAGCAATAGCAGCTCATTGAATTACATCCAGCCTCTTGTCCACATCGATAAGGTTATCGTCCTTGCCGATGGATTCTTGTATTTGCTCGACTCCCGTTTACTCGAACCTGCTAAAAGAATTAGCCTCTTCAAAGGCGTCACTGCATTTTCTCGTAAATTTCGAAGCATAAAATCCGGTACTCATACCAACGGGGGCAGTCAAGCAAATTATGTGTATAGCAATGGCGGTAACATTGATAGCAGCAATTTATTTGCCATTGGGATCGGGAAAAAGTTGGTATTAGCAGAGTTGATTTTAAGTGGGTCTTTGGTAATCTTGAAGGAGATTCAAGGGGTTCTCGATGGGATGATTACGGCTTTATTGTGGGTTGATAATTCTATATTTGTTGGTACCAAGGTTGGGTATTATTTGTATAACTGCATAAATGGGCAATGCGGGCTTATCTTTTCACTACCGGATTCTTCTGGCATGCCACGACTGAAATTATTGGTTAAGGAGTCGAACATGTTGTTAATGGTTGATAATGTGGGTATTATCGTAGATATAGAGGGGCAGCCAGTGGGAGGGAGCTTGGTGTTTAAAGAGACTCCAGATTCATTTAGGGAAATAGGAAGTTATGTGGTGGCTACAAGAAATTCAGCAGTGGAGTTGTACCACAAGAAAATTGGGTGCTGTGTTCAGAGGTTCGTGGTTGGGAATGGGGGTGGGGGCCCCTGTTTGCTGGCAGATGAGGAGAATGAGAGTGGGAATCTTGTTGTTGTTGCGACGAGTTTGAAGGTAACCCTTCATGTCATTTGTAGTGTAAATTGTATATGTAAAACAATGATTAGTAACATGTACTTCGTGTTTTTGATAAACTTGTTTTTTGTCAATGTTTTGGAAGTTTCAACTATTGATGGAAAATATTACTATATGGACATAGTATGTGCTTTGTATTTAGCTTGTCATATCATCTAAAATGCAGTTGAGTTGCGATGGCACAAATCTGCTTATTGAAGCACGCGAAGCAGAGTTATTTGAAAAACATGCGAACACAAATCTGCAATTATGTTTCAGTTTTCGTTTAAACTGAAGTGTCCAAATTAATGATGCATGTGAACCGCACGTATAAGATTAAGTACTTGGCATGTTGTGCGAGTTTATGAATTAAATATAAAATAGAACTGATGGGAAAAAGGGTGAATCTGAAATTGATCAGACTTATGAACAGAATACTCAAGACAATTTTTGTTATACGCCGCATCAATTTTAACGAGAATAGCAATTTAAATCATGAAATGATCACATTTTTTTTATTGCTAATTTTATCATCATGAAGTCTCTAATACTTGCAAATTGAAGCTTATTTGCTATGGAAAAGTTTCTGAAGAAGCACAAATCAAGGATATGCTCAGGAAAAAGAGCTTCAAGGAAGCCATGTCCTTGGTTAAAGAGCTTGAGAACGAAGGTGAAATGACAAAGGAGATGCTCTCTTTTGTCCATGCGCAGGTGGGATTCCTCTTGCTCTTTGACTTGCATTTCAAGGAAGCAGTAGATCACTTCTTGCTTTCAGAAAACATGCAGCCTTCTGAACTGTTTCCATTCATTATGCGAGACCCAAATCGCTGGACCCTTCTGGTATGTGCTAAATTGTTCTGTGCTTTATGTTTTTAGGTAGCTTAAACTGGTTTTTCTTGTCCCTTGGTAATTCATACAAGACAATGAGTCACATGCTCTTTTTTAACAGATATCTTCTGAGGCTTCTGTTTTGTGTTCCATGTACTATGAGTTGTTTTTCTCAAGACTATGTGTGCCGTATGTAGTTCGCGATGACTTTCCAAGTAATTATTTGTGGGTTTCATAAGATACTCTTTATCCTAATAACTTAAGGTTAGTTCTTGTATAATAGTGGAATATCGCAGTTTATAGGGTCTTACAGGAACATATAACCATTAGATCAGAAGAAATTACATGAAAAGCTATCTGTCGCATCTGGTATTTAATATTTGTGTTTACCCATAAAATCAGCTGGGAGTGTTATGTAGTGCAGTACTTGAATCGAGCTATCTATCCCTTCTTCTTACCTCCATTGATTCTATGTGTACTAATGTATATTGAATTGTTTGAATATTACAGGTTCCGAGGAACCGATATTGGGGTTTGCATCCTCCTCCTACACTTCTTGAAAATGTTATAGATGATGGATTGACTGCTATTCAAAGAGCTGTTTTCCTTAAGAAGGCGGGTGTAGAGTCTGCTGTTGATGCTGAGTTTCTTCTAAATCCACCTAGTAGAGCTGATCTATTAGAGTCTGCCATAAAAAACATGATAAGGTGTTTCTGATTTGATGTCATAATATTCATTTTTTTCTGTTCCAGATGGAAAAGTGGGCCTCGTTTTGTTTATTCTGTATAAAGTGTTTCCAGTTCACTATCCTAGTCGGGTTGTATGATCTACCTTTCCGTTCTGGCCAATTTTCCTTTTCTAACTTCTAATAACTTTCTACAGGTACTTGCAAGCTTGTCGTGTAAGAGATCTGGCAGTTTCAGTGAGAGAGGGAGTTGACACCCTTTTGATGTACCTGTATAGGGCTCTCAATTGTGTTGACGACATGGAAAGACTTGCATCTTCTGAGAATAGCTGTGTAGTGGTATGGATTACTTTTCATTTCTTCCCCATTTGGCTGAAGAACCCGTTATGGATTGTTTGTCGTTTTTTTTGTATGTCCACTATGAGGAAAATATACAATTGAATTCCTGAGGTGCAATTGTGTTATTCAGTTAGTTGGATTTTTGTTCGTTTAGTTACAACATAGTTTATAATGCCCACCCATGTGGAGGATTCATATAGAACCTATGAGTGTTAATATTGGCATTATTTTTAGTCAAGGTGAAATAATTGAGCCACTTAAACAATGACCATGGGAATTCAATGGGCAGTGCAGGAGGAGCTAGAAGCACTACTCACCGACTCTGGGCATTTACGCACACTTGCTTTCTTGTATGCTGGTAAGGGGATGAGTGCAAAGGCTCTTTCTACTTGGCGCATATTGGCAAGAGATTATTCATCAAGTAGCAATCACAAAGATCAATATGTGGAAACTGATTTACAAGATCCTTCTAGAAAAATTATCTTCAGTCCTGAAACTGCTGCTATAGAGGCGTCTAAGATTCTTGAGGAGTCCTCAGACCAAGATTTGGTACTCCAACACCATGGATGGGTTCGTAACCAATATTTTTAATTTATGTAGTTTTTGTCACAACTCAAAGAAGTCAAAGGTTTGGGTCTCGTGAGTTTCAGCTTTTGTGTTTGACCTATCTGATTGCTGATGCTCCTTTTTTTCTTTTTTTTTCTTTTATAGATTGCAGATATCAACCAGGTGATTGCTGTTCAAATTTTGATATCAGAGAAAAGAATCGGTTTGCTATCACCAGGCAAGGCTAACAATAATTTCTCTCGTACAATATCTGTATTTTGAACATGCATTAGGATGACCTAGTCTCTCTCTTTTAGTTGGTTAACTTCTGATTGTTTTATGACAGACGAAGTTATTGCTGCAATTGATCCCAAAAAAGTGGAAATTCTTCAAAGGTATAGCCTGGTAATTATTTCCTTTGTGTTTGATTATGTGTAGCGATGCACTTTAAGTTGGATGTTTTTTTTCAGATAGTACTTTCTAGGAAAGGTTATAATTTTCATTAAAGATGGCTATTCTACTTGCATTCATTTGGTCATCATGTATTCTTATGATTCTCATCACCCGAAGCCCGACTTTGCTTTTTACAGTCAGACTTTCCTCTGATTATTTAATTATTTTGGTTGGTATAGTTGGCCGAAGATGCATTAGAGAACCCATTTATTGGAACAAAACATTCTCTTAATTGTTGGAACTGCATGTCATGCATCATTTGTATTGCTACTAATCATACTACAACAATTACGTAATATATATTCAGATATCTCCAGTGGTTGATCGAAGACCAAGACTCTGATGACTCACGGTTCCATACAGCATACGCGGTCTTGCTCGCCAAGTCAGCACTTGAAACTATTGATGTGAGCCTTTCAACTCAAGGTTCTGTGGCTGGAAGGCCAGAAAAGGAGATGAAAGTTTCTGAACATGGAGGGAGCTCAATTTTTGAAAGTCCTGTCAGGGAAAGACTTCAGATTTTCTTAGAGTCATCGGACTTATATGATGCAGAAGACGTCCTTGAAATGATTGAAGAATCGGATCTATGGCTAGAAAAGGTCCTGTTGCATCGTCTTTGTCATATTACTATCAATTGTTTGATTCAGTATTTACAGTTTCCCTAAAAAATCGTACTCATTAAATGGAGGCAGTCTTTCAATATTGAAAGGTTTGCCGTGTTAAGCAACTGAAGCTAGTTTAAACTTTTCATTTTCTCTTTTCTTGTATTAGCTGATTTTGCTTGATTGTATTTTACAGGCTATTCTTTATCGGAGGCTTGGTCAAGAAACACTTGTGCTAAATATTTTGGCATTGTAAGTTCACAATCATAGAAATATTGTGTGTGTGTGTAGCTTTTAAATTGTTTTAGAATTCTTGAGCGACGGTATGATGTGGTTGGCTTTTTTCTCCTTATTAGGAAATTGGAGAATTACGAAGCTGCTGAACAATACTGTGCAGAGATTGGTCGACCAGATGCATATATGCAGTCAGTCATTTTTCCTCTCTCTTGCTATTCGATTAGTGTCGGTATCAATTTCCTCATTGTTAATAGTTTTCGTTTCCGAGTGATATAATTAGATTGCTTGAGATATATTTGAACCCGAAGGATGGAAGAGAGCCCATGTTTAAAGCTGCTGTCCGTCTTCTCCACAATCATGGAGAAATGCTAGATCCCTTGCAAGTGCTAGAGGTATTAGTTTCCATTCGATTTCTTATTGCCAATAGTATATAAAATCGTATATTGTAGTTATACGTACGCTATTGTTTGAAACTCGGATTCCTTTTGCAGAGATTATCTCCAGATATGCCACTCCACCTGGCCTCAGACACAATATTGAGGATGTTGAGGGCCCGCCATCACCACCATCGTCAAGGAAAAGTATGTTTTTTTATATCTACTCCTTTTAGTTTGTTAGTTTTTATTCTCTCTCTTTGATGTAACGAACATATCGATTATCTTAGTATTTGTTGTTTGTTGGTTACGACAGATAGTGCATAATATGTCGCACGCGTTAGTGATAGATGCAAGCTTGGGAAGAATGGAGGAAAGGTGTAGGAATGTGCAGATAAACGATGAAAGCACTTGTGGTTCTTGCCATGCTCGTCTTGGTACTAAACTATTTGCAATGTACCCTGACGATTCCATTGTTTGTTACAAGGTCCGTCTCTTTTCATTGTTTCACACACACACACACACACACACACACACACACGCACACAGAGGATCTCTCGACTGGTGCAGATTATTACTGATTGATGGATGACGTTCCTTGCAGTGTTACCGGCGTCAAGGCGAGTCCACTTCTGTAAGCGGGCGTGATTTCAAGAAAGATAGTTTAGTCAAGCCTGGTTGGCTCGTTACACGATTATGACGAACTGGAAGATCGTCCAGCGAATTTAATTCGGAATCTTTGAAGGTTGATGATGTTGCATCTGTGTATAGCATCTGCCGGCTTAGTGACATTATGGTTTCGCCCTTGTTGATTAAAATTTTGAACATGAGAACAATAAGAACATTTTTAGTTCTTACTGCAGATGTACATATATAGTGTTTTAACTTGTCGAAATTGTAACATGATTATGATTTTTACCAAGAATTAAAAAAAAAAAAAAAAAAAAAGTTGGGTGATTTATTACTTACTATTCTATTATTAATTAAGATAATGGTTTTTATATTTGTTTTTTAATAATAAAACAGAAATGTGTACTCAACGTGTGGAGGCAACGAGATCACTGTACATTGGATAGATTGAGGAGAAGAGAATCTAAAAATGTGAAACCATAGCAGCCAATCACAAGTGTCCAGCTCAGCATCTTCTTTACTGAAATCCCACCTTATCCTCTCTCAACCACTAGTCCCAATTTCTAAAAATCGGCCTCCGCCCCTCATCTTCATCTTCTTCATCATCACCACCATAATCTCATTCTGAACTGAGAATCAATCAATCAATCAGGAGAGAAAAATAATAAGAGAGAAAGGGATTCGGTAACAATGTCGCTAACTATCCCCACAAACCTCTCCAAATCAATTTCAACACCTAAATTGAGCACTCAATTCGCCGCTAAACCAAGGTCTGCCACCGCCGCCACCATTGTATGTCAGGCTAATTCCTCAGAGCAGCAGTCCACTTCTTCAGCTAATTCTCAGCTCAAGGCGTTCTCGGCGGCGCTTGCCCTCTCTTCCATCATTCTCTCCGCCCCCGTCCTCCCTGCCTCCGCCGATATCTCCGGCCTCACTCCCTGCAAAGAGTCCAAACAGTTCGCCAAGCGCGAGAAGCAGGAGATCAAAAAGCTCGAGTCTTCCCTCAAGCTTTACGCACCTGACAGCGCTCCCGCTCTCGCCATCAACGCCACCATTGCCAAGACCAAGCGCAGGTATTTAATTAATTAATCATACTTATTCATACGATTAATCTCGATCCACAAAATTAATCATTTTTTTCTTAACAGAAGCTCGAGTTTATTGCAATTAGTACCCCTGTCTTATATCGAATTTCTAAAATACTGCCCCATGTTATTTTATTAGCAAAAACCCCCTACGATTCAATTTTTTTTAGCACACAACCCCCTAAACAGGATTACTAGTTGCTAAAAAAAAATCATAGGTGCTTTCTTGCTAATATAAAATAACATAGGGTAGTTTTCTAGCAATTCGATATAACTCTGGGGTCTAGTTGCAATAAACTCTCAAGAGAAGCGCACATCAATTTAAAATCTGACCACATTAACAGAAAAAAGATGACTCCATTAGATGCATTCATGTAAAAAAAATAAAAAATTGGGTGATGATAGTTGATACAATACAGGTTCGAGAACTACGGTAACCAAGGGCTGTTGTGCGGTTCCGACGGATTGCCGCACTTGATAGTGAGCGGTGACCAAAGACACTGGGGTGAGTTTATCACACCCGGCATCTTGTTCCTGTACATAGCTGGATGGATTGGGTGGGTAGGCAGGAGCTACCTCATTGCTATCAGAGACGAGAAGAAACCGACGATGAAGGAGATCATTATCGATGTTCCGTTGGCCAATAAGCTCGCCTGGAGAGGCTTCATCTGGCCCATTGCCGCTTACAGAGAGTACTTGAACGGTGAACTCATCGATCCCAATTACTAAATTGTGTCTTAAGAGAAATTTAAAGACACGGAACCGTTGTTGCCGAGAGAGGAGTGAGAAACAAATCATTGTATCTACTGTCTGTAAACTTTTATCTTTGTACTTACTGTTTTGTTTGAACCAGAAAATGCAAATGAAATCCTCCTTGTTGTTTATTCACTGTTTTTTTTGCTTGTGTTGCCTATTAATTTAAAGAAACAAGAATTCATTTATTGTGTGTCGCTAATGAAGATCAAGGCTACACTGCTCGTAAAATAATAAATCTCTATATAATTTTCAGTTTCGAGAGGCGAAAAATCGATTGAGATACATAAGAATTAATTATTTATTATGTACTTAAACAATTAATTGATATGGCCTAAACAAAATAAACATACATTTATATATATTATGTCTTAATTCGACTATTGTAGAGTAGGATTTATATCTCTGCGCACGACAGTTTTATACATAGGACTATTGGTAAGAGAAGAGTAAAAAGATTTCCTCTTCCTATGCAGCTGCTCTTTCAAATGCCTGATTTTCGAGTCAACTCTCGCAGAATAACCGACCTGAGTCAACTGCTTCGATTTCTCCTGCTCCCTCACCCACATCGGATTATCCTTAACATCGGTACCGGAATACTTCATCTCTTGTATTATATGATCATCCATCGGGAAAAATGACCGTTGGATCACGATATGGATCACGTAAGGAAGAACCGCAACCGCAACCACAAGCAATGTACCGATCCAGTAAACGGGCGCGGGCCCCACCTGCTCCGTGAAAATACGGTACGTGTACGTAGAAGGGAGTGTACTGTATAGATACAGAAATACATACCAGCTGAAAATACTACCCCATATTAGAAAATGGCTGATCCAAGTGAAGTGGGAGATCATTAGTGCGATCTGGCAGTTGACCGTCCAGATTACGCACGTGTATGTGATTGTGCCGATGTGTTCGATGTCTCCTATGTTTCCGTTTCTGTCTAGAGCTGAAGACGAAAACATGCATATGTTTAATGTGAAGACGGATAAAGAAGCTAAAACCCCGTTTAGTATCCAACCGATTATTCGCTTCCAACTGAAGTAGATGTTTCTTTGTCCTTGCTGATATAGTGCTGGAAACTACATTAAAATTCAAGAGTCGAGTTAGTTTTTTTTTTGTTTTTTAAACGGAACGAAAAAAATGAGATAAAAAAAGGTGTGTGTCTACCTTTAGACAAATGTCCGATGAAACATCTTGCTCGAGCACACCGAGAGATATAACTGGCAAAGATGTTAAGAGTACGTTGAACATGACCATATACCAGTCGTCGTATAAGTCTTGCCCTGAGAAACCGGTGAAAGTGTTGTAGTAGAATAGTGTGAGGCCAAATGCTATGTTCTTGTACACAAAGTAAAGAATCTGCAAAGAGAGGGGAAAAAAATTAAAAATAAATTAATTAAATTAAATATATTTTGATGAACTTTAAAAGGAAATAAGCTTTAATTTAATTTTCACCATCTTAGAAATCCTCTTGTAACACCAATGCCCATGAACTATTAGTAGTCTCTCCAAGAAACGGAACTGAGGCAACGAAAAATCGCTTGCCATTACCGCCTGCAATAATTAATTTTGTCACACTTGTTGTAATAAAACTTATAATCAAAATTAAAATAAAGTTGAAATAGTAAGTTAATTTTACCTGCATTCCTTCCATGCCACTAATTCCAACGCCAATATCAGCTTCTTGAATCATGCCAACATCATTAGCGCCATCGCCAATTGCAAGAATTGTCTTGCCGGAGTACTCTTTAACCCTTTGTGTAATCTAAAAAAATAAATAATCAAGAAACGAAATTAAACGAGTGATGAATGAATTTATATATATATTCATACCAGAGCTTTCTGTTTGGGAGAGACACGGCAGCAAATGACAACGTCGCAGTTCATAGCAACAGACAAGAATTGTTTCGTCAAATCATTTCCTAAACTTAGTTCAAGAGCTTTTCCGTCTACCACCAAAGCGAAAGGCGAGTCGTCTCTGTTTTCTTCGGTGATCAATTTGTTGTAGCTTTGTAATTGGTACATAATCTCCTTTTTCACATCCTGAAAAACTAAAAAAAAACGGTATACTTCATTCTTGATCCAAATTCAATAATCTTCTTTACATTCTTTAATTTTTTTTAAAAAAAAAATTTGCGCGTAAAAACTGGTCTTTACCTTCATTTGCTGACTAGACGAAGATTCTTGACTCGAGCACAAATGAAGCTGCTTCATATCATGCCGCAGTAAACTGCAAGAAAATCTGTAATAACAACAATCACAAGACATTTAAGTGGATTAGTACTTTTCTTATAAAAAAAAATGTGGATTAGTACTTTTTCCTTGAAATTTTCGGGAAAAAAAAAAAAAAAACGAAAGCTGTCGAAATTCCCACCCTATATTTACTGCTGTTTCCTTTTTATCACCAGTTAGAAGCCAGATTTTCAAGCCTGCTTGTGCCAGTTTATCTATACATTCAGGAACCTGTAATATATATATAAATTAAATTAAATATAAAATTAATCTACACTTGACAAATATATATGTTCTGTATAACATTTTCATGAAATTAATTACCCCCTTCTGCAATTTATCTTCAACAGCTACAGCACCTAACAAAATCAAATCTTTCTCAATCAATTCAGAGGCATTCTCAAGTAACTCTTCTCTTTCTTCACCTACAACAGCCTTAGCTTTCGTGAACACCGTATTCCACTTCTCGTATTCGAGCTCATCTATTTTTTTGTACGCAAACACCATCGTTCTCAATCCATCTTCCCCGTAGTTCGAAAGATGCATAACCGTAGCCTGTTGATACGTTCTACCGTTATCGGCTAGCCTATCAAAAATAACCCTTTAAAAAAAAAACATTAGAAAAAATCGGAACCGGCAGTTTATTTATAGTAAGCAGTAATATATCTAAGTAAAAGTAAAAAGTAAACCATACTCATCAGCTCCTTTGCAGAAGAGGAAAATCTCGCCCTCTTCGTTTCTTACTACGACCGACATTCTCTTTCTTGAGCTATTGAACTCCAGTAGATTCAAAAGCTTGTACTCTCTGTGTGTTTATTTTTTCATCACTATAAATTAGAAAAAAAATAAAAAAATTATAAAAATCTACAAGACTCGAAATTTGTTTGGTAATCACCTTTTAACCTCCGAACCCGAAGAAGGGTCGAGTTCTTGAAGAACCATAGTTGACTGAGTTCTTTGGCAAAACTTAAAACCAAACTCTCGCGCTGCAATAAGAAACGAGACCTCTTCGGGTGACTCAGCCTCGTACATTAACTTATTTTCTTGTCCGTTTTCTTCGATAGGAATTCCGGTATGACAAAGAGCCATCACTCTAAAAAACATGATCATGTCATTTACATTAGACCGATTATAAATCCACAGCTTGTCCATAAGCCTGTCATCTCTGAAGTTAAACCCCTTCACGAAAAAATCTTTCCTCGAATTAGAAATTCTCGAAATTCCCAAAACGTCCTTCTCCGTTCCTCCGCCGCCGCCTGTCGAAAGATCAAACATCTCGACGCTCCGCCCCGTCGAATCTGAGCCGTCCAAACTGAACCTGTGCCTCTCAACATCAATGTTCATTCTTCTAGAAGCTGCCAGGTCAACTTCGGTCACTTCGCCACCGTACGAAATACCTTCGATCGAGCATTTCTTGAATTCCATTTGGTTGCAAGTTAAAGTGCCCGTTTTATCGGATAAAATCATCTCCACCTGTCCAAGCTCCTCGTTTAAGTTCGAAGTTCTTGCTTTTACAGCCTTCCCCGTCGTTTCATCGTACATTGAAATATCCTTATTAATCAGCACAGCTTGCAAGACTTTTACAACTTCAATGGAGACATATAGAGAAATCGGGATTAAATATCCGTACAGAACAAGGGCGCGCACGAATTGTAGAAGCCCGGAAAATGTGGGGTCCTCTGGATTGGACAAAGGGTCAACATGATCGTTCAAACGAAGGTACCACCCTTTATGATTTTCAGACATCGTAAATAACGAAGAGCCAAATGCAGAGATTAAAGAAATCAAAAGCAACATCGCGAAAAGAAGGTATATCACACGGTCCATTTTTCGTTCGACTCTGCTGCGTTTGGAGGGAGATTTAGTGGAGTTTCGGATTGCTTTCGTGTCTGGTCCGGTGAAGATTACCACACCGTAGATTTTTTCCGTGTTTCGAAGCTTCGAGTCTCGTAGAAGAATTTGAGATGGGCTAAGGGGGTGTGATTCTTTATCCAAATCCAAATTGCCCACAAATGTGTAAAGACTCGGATTTGGATCTTCGCAGCGAATCGTGCCTTTGAACTTGCAGAAGTCAATATCCTCGTACAAACAAAGTGTTGCTTCTAAGGTTCTTTTAGGCTTTAGATTTGTCTCCCCGTCAAGATTCATCGTCTCAACATAGCAAAGACCATCTTCATAGCTCGAAGAAAGCAAAAGAAGATCACTCGGAAAATACTCGTTTTTCGTTACTTTTACAATATCTCCCACAAGCAAAGATTCCCATGATTTCTGCTCGAATAAACCGTTTCCCACATGAACTTTCACCTTTCTCGAGTTCACTTCTCTGTCCTGCAAAACAAAAACAAAAAAAGCTTATTTTTCTTGGTGAAAATATATATATTCTTGAAAATATATATTATATATATTTGTTGCTACCTACCTGTAAGAATCTATGCCAATCTTCGATGGCTTCTTTTAGCATACTAATACCGATAACGAAAACGAGAGGCGCTATCACGCTAGCTCGATTGAAAGGGTTTAACGGAGTGAGACAGAGAATAGCTGCTAGAAGAAAGTACAAATTTGCAACCCTACGAAATTGCTCGAAAAGAGCTCTCGGAAAAAAGGTGACAAGATTGTACTTAGTCGTGGATGCATAATTGTTCGGGTACTTATACGGCTTTGTTTTGTGAAGATGAGGTTCGTTACAGAACACGACACGAGAAAAACCTGTCTGGCCAATAAGATGCGCGGTGGGCGCAGATTCGTCGGTAGTTGGCCTTAAGCATGAGAATGTGTACAGTTTGCTCCATTTGATCAGTTTCTGCTTTCTTCTTCTTGATGACATTTTTCTCCTTTGAAAAAAAAAAGACAATCCTCAGAAATTTCTGTCGATTTTCGACATCGTAAACTGTCCTAAACCGGGCATATAAGTACCAGTAAACTTCTGGAGATTTGTCATTTGTGCATGTTTGTAATAAAACTTGTACTATTCACATTCTTCTGTCTGTTTAAAGAAACAAAAAATTATGTAAGAGAAACTTCTAAAATCCAGAAATAAGAGATTTCTTGGATCAATCAGGCAGGCCTTGAATTAATTAAACAAAAATAAATAAATAAATAAATAAATTCACTAAAATCCAAGTGCCATGAACCTCTCTACAAGGCATTGACATCAACGTTTAATTAACTTTTTCTTTATTTATTTTTTTTTAGTTTTTTGCATTAAAATAATAAGCTCTACATGTGATAACAGATAACCCAAATCCTGATTAGTTATCTAATTTGACCAACCTAATTCAAATCTCAAAATATAATTATAAAATATATACAAAAGATCTAGCTACTCCAACTCAATAATTCGTGTTCACCTCCATTAATTTTTCGTTCGAACTCGATTCGATTGATTTTAAAAAATTAAAATAAGCTTGAACAAATTATGCATCTAACACCACTTAATTCATTTTAATCTGCTCCATAATTTATGGTGACCCAATTGTCAAACAAATTAAAGCAGAAGTAACTGCCCATTAAAATTGAATTTGATATTCCTCTAGATTTGCGAACAGAATCATTTAATCAATTAATCCGCAAGTCAGTATTATATTCCGTACACATTGTGACTGTTAAAATAATCAATCGCCACAGTGATGTTTCGTTGTAAGCATTGACTAAATAATTCCAGGATATATATTTTTTTAAAATCTGATTTGCCGGCAATTAATTAGTGATTCCGTGGTGTTAATTACGAGATTATCTTGTCCAATAAACAAAAACTTAAAATAGAGATACACAGCTTCCATGCATACATAAACTATTGAATCGGCACATGAAATCTTGTAAGTATCGAAGTTATTATAAGATTGTTTTAATTGTATTTTTGTTAATTGTATTTTAGCAATAACACTATTTATGTTACATCTGCTGAAATATACTGGGTGATTTTTATTGTTTAAAGCATCTTAATATATTAGGGTTTCCGAACAATAGACTAAATTAGAAAATAATAAAAGTGACAATATTTATTTTAAAAAACAATATATATAATTTCTTTGGAATAATAATATTCCTTCTTTCTACCAATATATTAATTAAATTGGTTTAATTAATGTTGCCTTCTTGTGGTTGGTCATTTTCCTGGAGCAAACGGTCGGTGGCAACTTTCACAATTTCCACGTAGATTTTGAACTCCTTATTCCGGTTTCTAATATGGGCCGGGTCGAACGAGTCCTTTTTGAATTCATGCTTGCAGCTCTTCAATTCGTCACTAGTATCATCGATCTGGACAGAAATATTCCGGTAATCGTCGGAATCCAAGTTTCTCCTCGCTAGATCGAGGTTGCGGCTGGCGTCGTTATAGTTCTTCGAGCACGACAGGTACTTTTCCTTCAACTCATCGTTTTTCGAATCGTCGTAGAGCTGGTTGAGCTTGTCGTGAATTTCGTCGGATTTTGCTATTGCCAGGTCGATTACGACTCCGGCCACGCCTTTGTTGCCATCCGCATCGCTGAATCTGCTGAACTCGGATTTGATGATGTTCCAGCATTTTTTTGTTTTATTTGTCTGCGAGCAGAGATCTCTTAGGTCATTTTCTAGATCTGACTTCTCTCTGCGGCCCAATGAAGAGGGAACTGCAATTGCCACAACAAGAGCAACGAAGATTATTTTGTGCAAATAGTAAGCCATTTTTTTTTAAATTCTGATTATGCTAGTATTTTTTGATGCTGTTTCTCTTGCAATGAATTACTTCTTCTTCAAATGCCTTGTTTATATAGCGGCAATTTCATAGTTAATGAACCTTCAGTTTTCAATTCATTAAGTATAGATTTCAATTTAATTCTATCTTTGTTGGCGTTTCAATTCATTAAGTATAGACTTCAATTTATTAATTTAATTACTGTTTTTCTTACTACTTTTGTTAAGGTGTTCTATGTGTGGTGAGTTTTTTGCATGATTTAATATTTAGTAAGTAATGGAGTATTAAAAAGAAAAGGACATTTAATAAGACTGTAAACCTTTTGATGTGAATACATATACTTCTATTTGATTTTAAGATTGGATGGATGGTGTGTTTCATACTGCCTTCTTTCATGCTTTACTTTGTTTAAACTAGATGGTATTAGCTATTACTTTGTAAATAACAAAGTGATGTGGATGACAAAATTTTGTTAAAATTGCTAATAATAGTCGAGAACATAAATAAATAACACCTTGAAACAAACCTTCACATTAAGTGACTTATTTGATTACATGATTGAATAGATCACAATTTTTCATGTAACGAACATTATTACTTCTTAATTTTGGTTACATTTATTGAAATGACAATGGCTATGCTAAGAATAAATTGGAACTCGTGGTTTTTCTTCTTTATGTGTGCATGATCAGTAGATGTCCCGTCAAGCAGTTCCTCACAGTTCTCGGTTTCTTCAAAGGCATCCTTAACTTGGACAGAAATTTTGCTGTAGGAACCTGAATGCAGGTTTTCCTTAGCAGCTCCAAGGTCACGATTCGCATTGCTATTAGTTGTTAGAGCAGAAGCTGCAAACATTTCTCAGTCGAGAATCATGGGTTGCCTATGCAAGGGAGTTCAAACGGGGTTGGATTTTATCGTCCACATTGGAAGTCAAATCAAATGAAATTTCAGCGAGGGCTTTTTCGTCATTTGCATTGCGTTGGTTGGACTTAAGAGCTTATCTCCTTATCAGTAAGTTTATGACCCGTTGATGATAGGTTGACTGACATGACGATTACGAAAACCAACACAAAGGAGGTACGCAAGATATCCATATGTCTCTTTCTTAGTTTCTTCCTTTATTTTGGTGGGACTGTTTTTCCTTAGCATGCGATTGCATAGCCTGTGGAGTGACTCTTATTATTAGAGCTCTTTTGTAGCATTGTAAATTTAATAAATTTTGGAAACTTTAGTTAATAAGAAATTGGAATTAGTTCGTTCGGCAAAAGAAGATACAAAGTGAACTACATATATTATTTATTCGTTGCAATCCGTCATGATATTTATATCCAGAAACAATATATTGCTTTAGAATAATATTTCACTTCCAAACCAATATTAAATTGATTTTAGTCATTGTCATTTTCGAAGATCAAACGGTCCAGGGTCACCTTAAAAATTTCCACATAAAGTCTAAACTCCTTATTCAAGTTCCTAATGTGGGCCGGGTCGAACAAGTCCTTGGTAAATTCATGGCTGCAGCTCTTCAATTCTGCGACAGTATTATCAATCTGTACAAGGGCATTACGGTAATAATCAGCATGCAAGTTTCTATTTGCTAGATCGAGGTTGAGGAGGACAACTCTGTAATTCTGGCTGCACAAAAGATACTTGTGTATCAAATCCTCGTCTTTGGAAATATCAGAAAGACGCACAAGCTTGCCGCTTATTTCTCTGGCTTTTGTTATTGTCAGGTTCATTGCGATATCAACCACTCCTCTAATTTCCGCGTTGTTGAATCTGTTCATTAACTCGGATTGGATGATTTGCCGGCACTCTATTTTCATATCACCTGTATGAGAGCAGTAATGCATTAGGTCTTTTTCGACTTCTGTGTGACTCAATGAAGACGGAACTGCAATTGCGAATAAAAGAGCAATCAAGATTACTCTGTGCAAAGAGTAAGCCATTTTTTCCTTTCTTCTTTTTGTTTTTCCAATGAATACTTCTTGTTTATATAGCGGTAATTAGTGCCATTACTCTTGCAGGTATTTAATGCTTGCGTTTTCTTATTTCAGTTTTCAATTCATGTAAGTGTAGATATTTATTTCTATTTAATTCTAGTTACTCTTGAAGAAATCCCTTTCAAAATAATGTTTTTGTTGTAAATAGTATGGAATGTGTGGTTTCCTAACATAACCACTTGATGGTTTTCAACCTCCCACTAGTGTAAACTTCCCACACCTTAGTCCCATGATGTGTGCAGGAAATAACTTCCATGGAACTTCCATTTGTAACTCCTCCTTGTAACTTCCGGTGGCTTACACCTATATTAATGAGAAAAACTCCCTCCCCATGGATACCCACAATTTTCTCACTACGGATTCTTGTTCTTTGCATTCTCTCATTCGCTCTCCATTATCGTTATTATGTTCTTATGTATTTCCACAAACACAAACCAAAGAGCTAGATAAATAGGTCATTTTACAACACGTTATCAGCACGAAATGCTCGTTGTGATTGTGGAAAGACAATCGTTCGTGGGACTAGGATACTTGAAGAATTTGTGATTCAGGTGCTCGTGAAAAATGAACCATTTTTGGCACGTGGATGCTTGAAGAACTTGTGATTCGAGTTCGTTCGTGAAATGGTAATCTTGTTCGATGAATACAATATATTCTTCAACATTTGGGTTTAAGCGTTTCAAGTAAGTCGTAATCCCTTGCAATTTCGATTTCATAAGAGATGCACTAGATCTATTTAATGGCATGAAATGCATGAAGTACATATTTATCTTCAAGTCATTACTTCATCTATACTGTGGATAATTTCAAAATATGATGTGATTCGTAATTATTGGAAGCATGCTTAATTATGTTACAGTATGGTATAAATATCACAATGATTGTTTTTGGTATGTGGTGTAGCAAATTATTTTATCATTTGCATTCATTCCGGATTCAATGAATAGCGACGATAAATGTGTGATTGTATATTGTCAAATGATTATAGTACCTTGCTGGTTTATTTCATGTTTCGAGGATTTGATATGAAATTGTATTATGAATGTTTTATCATAATATTTTAGAATACAGTGCACTAAGAAGCTTATGAATAAATATGCACTGTAGAATGAGGGGTGAATATATTTGATGATGAATGTGAAATTGTTTATGTTTCTTACTGAACGTGATTGTAGGCATATTAATATTTTGTTTTCTTGGTTGAATTTGTATTGCATGAATTGTTAGAAAATTTTGCTACTTGGTCATTTGATTTTAAGATGATCTAATGCACTGCTGATACTTGATAACATTATGGATCTGTTTAGTTAATTCATGATTATCTACCGGAATAATTTTAGAATTAGTTCCTTGAATTTATATGAGATTTTACATGCTATATATTGTTTATATTATTTAGCATGTTATATTTTGTATATTTGACAATTTACAAAGTCTTAATTGCATGAAGATTTTGGTCCATCTCTAATGGAGAATTTTATTCAATTGATCCATATTTGCCATATGTAATTTTGTGATATGAAAATGGTAAACAATATTTTGTTTGTCGTTATGGTTTATCATATGAAATCCATGAATGTGTATGAACATGTGGTGTATGAATTATTAGACCGGAAGTTCTAATATGTGCAAAATATTCATGAAATTGTGTATGGAGGTTACATTCCCATAAAACAATAATACTCATTATTCTATTTGATTTGAGATGAAACACATGAGCAAACTCGAGTTTACCCAACTTAATGTACTTGGTGAAAGTTTTTTTTGGTTGGAGAATGGATGTTAAGATCCATAAGCTTAGTGAGCAATTGAGAATGGTTGTTTTCGAGTATAATTTATTAGGTAAATAAAGCCCAGAAGGCTGAGACTATGTTTCTGATTACGAGATAATTAGATGAAATCCTTCGTTTGGAATATTCATCGAACGAGGGTCCTCATAAAGAATGGGATACCCTAACTAGTCGTTTTGATTACCAAAAGACAATACGCTTGCCTGAAGCAAGGAGCAAATGTTCATAAACGATTTGTATATGACCTTTAAAATCCGAATAGAGCTCAAAATCAGAACATAAATATATGTTTTATATATAGTGGATCTAAGAATTGGTCGCGCACCTGAAGTGCGAGGAACATTGGGGTTGGGTATGCAAATAATAATGCACCAACATCGACTGACTTGGTAGATGTTAATATCTCGTGGAGGCCGTTACTCAACTCCCATACTTGGGCACATCTGACCAAATGATCCAGGTTGGGATATGATTGAAGTGTTGATTTCATGAAATATGCATTATGGTCATTTATGCTCTAGCTATTAGTGTATAGAATTTCAATCATCGCATTTCATATGCTCATGTTATGAACTGTATTCGTATGTGGATCATGTTTAGTTTATGCTCTGGACCATATGTTTATGTCACTATGTGTTCTAAGTTAATTATTATGTTATTCAGTGGTGTTTGCTTGTTGAATTTATTTAGTACCTGAAGTACTGAATATATATGATTAAATTTATATAACTCTGTAGACATGACATGTGGGGATAAATGTCTGGCAGATAGTGCGACTACACATACTATCCTTAGAGATAAGTCGTATTTTTATTAATTTCATGTCTATTTGTAGGAAGACCTCTTTGATAACTAAATGAGGCACATGTAGTTTTGATAGATGGTTATGGTAATGTCTACATTATGTTATTTTATGGCACAGTTTTGCCCATTGAAGTAGCTCAATTTTTTTCTCCACGTTCCAGTAGAACGTTGTTAAACTTTAAAGATATTTGAGCTAATGGTTATTATGTTGAAATCATTGAAGCCAAGAAATCGAATATATGTGCATCATCTCTAACATGTACGACCAGAAGCGTACATTGGGAAAATTAGAGGAATTTTTCGACACGGTTATGTAGAACCACAATTTGTATGCCAGAAGCATAAGTTGTCGATTGCTCGAAATCAAGTAATTTGATTATATGTCAGCATACG